GCAAGGAAATGGTCAGCAATGAAATGGTCAGCAAGGAAATGGTCAGCAAGGAAATGGTCAGCAAGGAAATGGTTAGCATGGAGATGGTGTGCATGGAGATGGTCAGCAAGGATATGGTCTGCAAGGATATGGTCTGCAAGGATATGGTCTGAATGGAGAGGCTCGGCATGGAGATGGTGTGCATGGAGATGGTACTTCAGTATTAGATTAGTAGTACACCCCTTAACCAGTAGAACCCTAATAGATCCAAGCCCATTATGAACTCGGATGACCACCCCAAAAAATTTGACTAAAAAAAAATAATAAGGCAAATACCCTTTTAACACCAGTATTGCATCAGACATATGATGCTAGAGTCATATTTTGAAAGACTAATCAGCATTTAAAGGGTGATGTGGTCACACCACGCCGGCCCCTTTTACTCCCCATATTTTCTCAAATTAAAATTAGGCTGCGCCAACCAGGAAGCAAACATTTTTTTCCCTTAAATCACTCACTTTAGATTTGAATTCAAGATCTTCGGGCTGACAGACAAGTGTCTTGAACAAACTGAGCTGAAAGGGTTAAAACTCATTCTTACCAAGATTGTCCAGCTGAACAATTATCCCCAAGAGACCACTGATAATGGTGTTTTTTTTAGTCCAGAAGTCAAGTAAAAGTAAAGGACCCCCCCCCTCCCCCCCTCGGCGCATAAGGCATATGATGTTAAGACATATTTTTATATTCATTCTGTAGGTGATGTGATCAACATTACACTGGTCACCTTTACTTTCCAGAACATCACCTGGTTCCCATTGAAGGCTAGGTTAACCTGGCAGCCCAGGTAATTTTTGAAGAAGAAAAAGTCAGGTACTGTTAGGACTTGAACCCATGACCTTCCGATCAGCAGGTGAGTGTCTAGACGCTACACCACGGCGGCTCCCAGATGACCAATAGTAGATTTTTTATAGAACAGATAGGGTTAAAAGCAGTGTTGCCACTTTGGATGTTTTACATCCAGATTTAGATGTTTTTCCTTGCATTTAGATGGCATTTTTGACATTTGGATGGCAGATGTTTTTCTATTGTTTTTCATTTGGAGTGAATTTATCAAATCTAACCTAAGAAACAGGATGAAATTTGACCTCTTAAATGCTATCTTGACAATAAAATTCGGCCTGATAAGAGTAGGAAAAGGCTGTTCCACTTATCAGCTCCCTGATTGGGCATTAAAAGAAATTGGAACAGCTAAAGCATACCAGAGTCATTTTGGATCTGAAGCTTCAACTTCATCATCCAAGCTAAGTTTATCCTGTGGATCTTGTGAGGCAGACTTCAGTAAAGATGAGGGCATGATTCTATTGGGTGTCATATCAATTGCTATGTAATTGGTGACAATTTCCATTTGGATGTTTTTTCTAGATGTTTTCAATGCAAATTTAGATATTTGTAGATATTTTTTGACTCCGTTTTTTGTCAAAGAAAAGTGGCAACACCAGTAAAAAGTAATAAACTATTGTTATCTACACCATATAAGCAGTCTTTATGTGTTAGTCAAAACCCCTACCTCGTCGGTAAGCAAAATGTGAATCTGTGAGGGGCCCTGCATATAAATATCACCAATTTGTTGAGTCTGGATTCCAAACAAGGACGACAGCTTAATCTTGAACTCTTCCAATGCTAGTGTGTCCATGTACACGGCATGGTAAACTGTAAATAAAGAACATGATTTATTCACTGTATGGTAGGACAAACCGATGCATACATACTGTATGTGAGATGTAGACAAAACAATACATAAGACACATACTGAATGACAGCCTAAAAACTGAAATTTCTGCAGCGTTTGTAGAAACTCTGTACTGCGCTAATCACAAGTGCTGAAATGTTTTTTCCTGCCAAGCAGTCCCAGAGCTTGCTCCAGGGAACCTTATCAAATGCCTTTCCTAGATTCCCCTATTCCCCCCCCCCCCCCAAAAAACTTTGGTGCATCTCACTCTTATATTCTACAACAGTTTCACTCTACACTGCATCAGACAAAAATGGAAAAACTGTCTAAAAGCAGAAAATCCTAGTAAAATAAACTAGAACTTGAGACATCAAACATCAGAATTATAGACTAGATCACCCCCCCCCCCCCCCCCCCCCCCCCCAATTCCATATATTCACTATAATGCATAGATCAGAGCAGAGACTGTTTGTCCTGCATTTGCCCTTATGTGGGTGGCTGGCACATTGTGTTTTGGTGAACAGCTAGCAGCGACTCCAGCACCATTTTGGTCCAACTTTATGGTTTCAGAATCCCTAATTAGTCATCTTTTATGACTTGCTTGCTAGGGGCAGTTAACCCCCCCCCCCCCACCCCCCAGCATGGGACCCTGGAGTCCACAAAGGGATGAGCAGACAAATATGTGCTTACACTCAAACAGATTATAAGATAGGCTGTGTTGATTGTAAGCATAACAGCTACCTTTAGCCTCTTTACTCATATGACAAATGTCAAAGTGAGAGAATGGGGAAATCCATCACCCCAGCCCCCCGAGAAGGGCAAGACATATACAGAAGACCATGACACTGGGCTATAACCTGGTACCAGTGAGATAAACAAAAGAAAGAAGAGAATGGGGTAACTTTAATCCTGTGAATTTGAAAAAAAGAGAAGAGAAAAAACATATGGGCAGGGGACAAAAAAGATAAAAGAAAAGTGTGGGATTTGGGATGCTAACAACAATGTAGCAAAGATTCAAACACTAGATAAAGTTTTCAAGCATAAAAAGCAGACACAGAAAAGTTCACATAAATTAGCAACATTTGAAAAGTAGAGACAAAAAAAAGCAACAAGTAAAGAAAGGCAAACTTCTATTATTTTGGAAAACCTGGATAGCAAGAAACACAGATTAGACAGACATTCGGATAGCAATCTATGTTTACAGATATTTTTGTAGCAGAAATCAAAAACTGAAGTTAATTGTAAAACAAAATTTAATGCTGGTTTTAAAAAAAAAAAAACATGTTAGTACCCAAAACAATTTGATCTCATATTGATACCATACTGGCATAAGACAATACACTTTACACTGGCACAACATAAGAACTAAATGTATGCTAGTAAAATACAAAACAACTAGTTGGATGCTGGTACAAAACAACTAGCTGCATGCTGGTACAAAACAACTAGCTGCATGCTGGTACAAAACAACTAGTTGCATGCTGGTACAAAACTAGTTGCATACTGGTACAAAACAACTAGTTGGATGCTGGTACAAACAACTAGTTGCATGCTGGTACAAAACAACTAGCTGCATGCTGGTACAAAACAACTAGTTGCATGCTGGTACAAAACAACTAGTTGCATGCTGGTACAAAACTAGTTGCATACTGGTACAAAACAACTAGTTGGATGCTGGTACAAACAACTAGTTGCATGCTGGTACAAAACAACTAGCTGCATGCTCATACAAAACAACTAGTTGCATGCTGGTACAAAACAACTAGTTGCATGCTGGTACAAAACAACTAGTTGCATGCTGGTAAAAAACAACTAGCTGTAAACTGGTACAAAACAACTAGGTGTATGCTGGTACAAAACAATCAATCTCATGCTAATACAGTATTCACATCAATCTTCTTCTTCTTTAAATTCATCAAAGTGATAAGCTGCGTCTGTTTACAGCACAGCTGTGATATTTGTGCCTTTAGGCAGACACTTCAGACTTCATCAGGACTCTGTCCACCCAGTTAGCTTTCCCAACACACAAATTAAAAAACAAGTGATTACAAAATAAACAAAATAATTCAGAATAAAAACCTACTTGATTCTGGTTCTTGACAAATGTAGATAGTGAGTCTGGGTCTAATATTTCTGTGAAAGAAATCATGAAAGGCTCAAATTGAAACAATGGCTTCAACCAGTAAAACATACAGTGAAGTAAAGATCCCTTTTCACACCTTTAGGCGCATCGGGCATATGGGAAGAGCACACATATTTTTACAGACCAATCGGCACTAGTTGGGTAATGTGGTCAGCATTAAGCCGGCCATCTTTACTTCCCCAGGACAGCCATCATGGTATCCATTTTAGGCTGGGTCGATCTGCGACGCCCCATTCCATGACAAAAATCCACGCAGCCAGCAGTGGGTTTCGATTGCGGTACGTTGGAATTAGGAGTCGGACTCGCAACTCCTAAGCTACTGGGGCCACAGTAAAACACATACTGTAGATCAAAAGCTTATTTTGAAAAAAGATTAATTGTTAAAGATTAGGCAGATCAGTTTTGATAACAAAATAATTATTGATTTGGAGAAGACCACGAGGCAGACCAAGAAGACAGTAGAGAGATAATAGACAGACCTACAAATATTTAGAGTCACCAACTGGGAAGTGAGATCGAAAAAAGGTGGGGAATATCTGCAGCAATGAACCTTAAGGGCTGGAAATGCTGAAGAAGACGAGCAATAATTTATGATTTGGAGTAGACCACGAGGCAGACCAAGAAGACGGTGGAGACAAAATAGACAGACCTACAAATATTTAGAGTCACCAACTGGGAAGAGAGAGCCAAAAAAGACGGGGAATATCTGCAGCATTGAACCTTAAGAGCTGAGAATGCTAAAGAAGAGAAATAATTTATATTTTTGGTAGAGAGATACAGAAATGTATTCTGAAATCAATGGTTTAGTGAATACTCAGCAGATAAATGATGCCACACAAAAATGTATATTGGGCAGAGAGATACATTTATGTATTCTGAAATCAATGGTTTGGTGAATACTCAGCAGATAAATGATGCCACACAAAAATGTATATTGGGAAGAGAGATACAGAAATGTATCTGAAATCAATAGTTTACTGAATACACAAAAAAGGGGGAGGGAGGAGGGGTGTTGAGAATGATAATAACAGATCAAAGTTACTAATAAACAAAACACATATTTCCTAAACTAAAACACTGTCAAAAAACCAGCATGGAATCTCTAGAAGAAGAGCAATGATCACAGCTATGTTATCTGGTGTAGTTTACCTGGCTTGCAAGGCATTATCTAACCTAATACCATCTGCCAGGCCACAGATCTGGATCAGGTCATCTCTGCTAAGTCTTAACAGATCTGCACCTGAAGGACAGAGACAGGAAGGCAACATTTCAGAACTGCAAGTGAGTGTGGCTTAACAAGGTGTCTATAAGTAATGTTTAAGATTATATATATATATATATATATATATATATATATATATATATATATATATATATATATATATATATATATATATATATATATATATATAGGTATGTGAAAGTGTGTATGTATGCTTACAGAAGTGTAAGTACATATGAATGTGTCTGTGTATATAAAAGTATGTAACTGTGTATGTGTGTATCTTCTTCTTTTCGTTCGTCCGAGTGACATAATTGCGCTGTGCCTGTTTACATCAAAACTGCGATATTTGCGCCTTTCAGTCGATAAATCTGTCTTCCTCAAGCATTTGCTAACCAGGTTAGCTTCCCGGTTAAGAGTGTATGATTGTGTCCATGTGTGTAACAACTACTGCCAGAATAGCTGGTTTAAGTGTTATACATGTATCTAGTTAAATTATTTTAAGCCATCTGCCTCGAGTTCTGAAGAGTGCAGGTTCATTTCACGTGTGCGTCATTCAGTTCAACAGTGCAGATTATACAGAAATCCCTGGTGATAGAGCTACAGAGTTCATGCTTTGTGCGACGGCTCTCAATAAACAGCCAGCCTTTCTGCAGACAAAGACCGAGTCATAGTGGATCAAACCTGGAGCAATAAAGTCGGTCCTCCTGACATTAACCTAAACCTGGGCTATCCTCACTTATTCCAAATATTTTCACTTTTGATCTTGTCTCTTCTGATAGTCGGCTCTGTGGCTAAGTCAATGCGAACGCTTCGTAATGCCGGGTTCGATCCCAGCTGCGGGCCATGCGCCTTGCGTTGGTTTCGACAGTGGTATCAAGAAAGCCAACCGTCAGGAAAGCAATGGCAAACTACTGGACGTAAATTTGCCTAGAAAAACCATACATCAGCCAGGGGCTGTTGGTGTTGGTTCTGCAACGTCCTGTAAAAGATACGCAACTAACTAAATTCTAACCAACAGTCAAAATGTCAATCTATTGTAAGCAGGCAATTTTTGCCCATTACCCATTTTAGGCTTGGGCAACCTGGCAGCCAATGTTTTCTTTTCATTCATTAAATTTTTTCTTCTTCTGTTTCACCCGTATTAAATCTCTTGTTCTTCTTCTTAGTGTTCTCAGGCTGCAAACTCTAGCAGAAAGTTCTAACTGTTCGTCCACTTCTGGACTTTAGTCTTGTTTCAGTCTTGAATTTTGCATGCACATCCATTTTACAGATCTGGCTTATTTGTATGCAAACCCTTGGTTCCTCACCTCTGGCAGATGCGTTCCGACTCTGATGAAAATTCCCCTAATTAGTTGATTTGTCATCATCATCATGTAGCAGGTCCTTTGCAGAACGTCCCTCTCATCACAGTCTGCGCTTGATATGACCAAAATATTTCAGCTTTCGAGAAAGGATGCTGTTTATTAGCCAATCTTCCTTGATGTTCAGATCTTTTAAGATGTCAATATTTCTCATCTTCTTTGTCCAAGATATTCTGAGAATCTTTGTATAGCATTTCAGCTCAAAAGCCCCTATTCTCTTTCTGAAGGACTGAGAGTTAGTCCACGACTCACATCTGTTGATTTGTACAATATGTTTATTAGAGAGGCAAATTACCTCTTCTTTTTTTCAAAACCCACACAAGGACCTGTGTTTACTGACCTATGATGTTACATGAGAGTATCTTCAAGGTCAGTGATTCCTAAACTGTGCACCGCGGCGCCCAGGGCAGCTGTGACCTCTTCACAGGGTGTCGTGAAATATTAGATACACGAGTGGAATTTTTTTTTTTTAATCTCTCACATACGAAGTCATACTTTTACTTAGGTTAGGGTGCCGTGGACACATTTTAACTGAAAAAAGGCGCCGCCACAAAGAAAAGTTTGGGAAACACTGTACTAGGTAAACTATCTGTTACTTTTCTAGAGCTCCAAGTGCAGCTGCAGCTATGGACGTGCCTTACCTGAGAAATTCTGGAATACTCGAACATAATTTGAGAACCTGTGGTAGTGAAGCCACTGAGACACTTCTGCTGCATGGGCATCAGAGGGCAGGGGCTGGTGGAGGGAAAAACTTTGTCAGCAACCTAGGTACAATCTGGTAAATAAATGTCAAATTTTCTGATAGAGGGATGTGGTTACATAAGTAAATCACTAAGAAAAAAAAATGAAAATGAAAGAAAAAAGCAATGTTTGTTGATTCTTTCACCCCAGAAAGTAACAAAACTTGTATATCTGGTGTGTGCCACGATCCCGTAAACACCGCTTAACCAGCAGGAATACTACACCATGGTGGCTCCCAGATGACCATTAGTAGATTTTGTACAGAACAGATAGGGTTAAAAGTAATACACTATTGCTATCTACACTATACAAGCAGTTTTTATGTGATTTCTTTATAAGAATCCCTGCTGACAGCACTGATTCTGTTTGCACATGGGCAAATAGGGCCGCCAATGGCTCTAACAATAGCATTTGTAGGTGTTTTCTTGTGATAAACTGGTTTTATTTATAGAAATTACAAGGTCACGGTAACCTAGCAATCACAGTGGTCTCCAGCGGCCAGGTCGCAGGGTCAACAATCCCAGTATTACATTTCTTTGACTTCCGAAAGATATAATCTAGCTGATTCTCTGCTGCAAACATTTTTTTTTAAACTGATTACTCCATTTCATTAATGTGTAATTTTTGTTTGTTTATGTCCGAAAATAGAATCTATTGGAATTTTTTGGGTGTGAACTGTGTACAACCGTTGTTTACTCAAAAGAATATTTTTCGGAAATACCCAGCATTAAAAAATAATGGGTTCTTGGTATGGTCTTTTTTCTAGGTCATCAGGGTAAAAGGGTTAAAATGTGAGCTCAGTGTACTCTTGTGACTAATAATTTGCAAAGTCTACTCTGTCATTATCAAAATGATCTACACAGAAAAGTGTGACTTTACTTATTTGTAAGCCGACCTTTAGTTCCTTGCCTCAGGCAGTTGCAATCTGATTTTGAAGGAAACACCCCTAATAAGTCAACTTTTATGATCTGCTTGTTAGAAAGCACACAGAAAGCACCCCCACTATAACTGGAACCCCAGAACCCACACAGTGAGATCAGGTACAGAACTCCCTGTGTGGGTCCAGGACCCTATTTAGACCCACTGCCTTTCCAACAAGCATGTCGTAGGAGTGAACTAACTGAGAGCTTCCTTCGAAGTTGAAATGCATCTGCCTGAGCGGCAAGGAATAAACAACTGCACTCAAATAAGCCAGTAAAACAGATGTACAGGCTAAACTGCACAAAGCTAAAGTCTAAGCTGACGAACAACCAGGACTTTCCATCCGGAGCTTACAGCCATTGAACAAAGAAGAAGAAGGTACAGGATGGGGGTTTTCCAAGGTCTAATGCCCTTCCCCACACTGAAGGTGCAAGAATGGGTTCTAAATTTGATGCTCCTCAGGCCAGTGTATACTGGTAAAACTATGAAGCACATGGATAATCTGGGTGTGCAAAGAAGGCAAGCCTTCCTAAGCCAAACCTTCCTTGTAGGTTTAGGCTTTTCAATGTTACCGCAGCTAAAAGAAATAAACTATGTGAAGCTGGAGGATTACCTCAAACTAATCACTCATCAAAATTATTTCAAAATAAAAAGCTTAAATTTGCTGCTGAAGTTTTGAAATTACAGTTAACTTATAATTCTTCATCTTGTGTTCAGACTTATATGTCTAATCAAAATTTATATATCTTTTTCTTCTTCTTCAATTCTACCTGCTGTAAACACTAACAGAAAGTTCTTGTTGTTCGTCCACTTCTGGACCCTGGTCTTGTTCCAGAACCTAACTTTTGTGAACACATCCATTTTACAGATCTAGCTTATCTGTATGCAAACGTTTCCTCGCCTCTCAGGATGATGCATTCCGATTTTGGAGGAAATAAGCCAAATTAGTGGCCTTTCACACAAACATGCTTGGAGGAAATAAGCCAAATTAGTGGCCTTTCACACAAACATGCTTGGAGGAAATAAGCCTAATTCGTGGCTTTTCACACAAACATGCTTGGAGGAATAAGCCAAATTAGTGGCCTTTCACACAAACATGCATGGAGGAAATAAGCCAAATTAGTGGCCTTTCACACAAACATGCTTGGAGGAAATAAGCCAAATTAGTGGCCTTTCACACAAACATGCATGGAGGAAATAAGCCAAATTAGTGGCCTTTCACACAAATATGATTTTTAGGGGAGCAGTAAGTCTGTTCTTTTTTATCTAATGGGGTCCTGAGACTTATGCTGAGATATTCAAGATTCATATATAACATACTGGTGGCTGAAGAGTTGTTAGTCTTAACTTTTTCAGACTATAACATGAATATCAAATTTAGGATTTCAGATGTGGGTACCTCAGGTGGCAGCCTCCGTAGGCCTACCTGCTGGTCTAGTGATTTAGGTTCAAATCTTCACTGAGGTGGATTCTGTAACTGACCTGAGCTTCCAGACTGAGCAACCTAAATGGTTAAGTAAAGGCTCCTTTTCCTAGCAATTAGGCGTATCGGGCATATAATAATGCAAAGGAACCTTTTCCACGCCTTCAGGTGTATTGGGACTATAGAACTAGATCTGTATTTTATAGACTACTGTCAATTCGTGAGTGATCTATGACGTTCGCCAACTTTACTTCCCAGGAATTCACCTGGTACCCAATTTAAGAGGCTGTGTTGACCTGGAAGTAAAAGTCATTTCTGAAAAAAAAATCTGTTTCATTGCAGATCTGAACTTCCCACCTTCAGGTATGAGGTGAGCATCTAGTAGCTACACCATGGCTGTGAAAAGCTGTCATCCACTCCTGGACATGTTCTAGAGCTTCGGTTTAGCATGCACATCTGTTTTACGGAACTAGCCTATCTGTATGCAGATTGCTGATTCCTTGCCTCTCAGTCAGATGCACTTCGACTTTAAAGGAAACACACCTAATTAGTCACTTTTTAAAAGATGCTTGTTGGGGGGAAGGGGGCAGTAGGTCTATTTTTTTTTCCCCTAACAAAAGGACCCCAGATCCCACACCGGGTTTTTAAGTCCCTATCTGTTGTAGTTCTTATACAGCTTGTTATTGTGAATATGCCTTTGGCTCTTTCTACAATTTCTTTAATACCAATCTACAACTAGGAATTGAACACCTGTCACTGAGTTAGCAAGCCAGTTAAAAAACTACAGCACTTCCAAATCTTTGATCCACGTAGCTCAAGAATGAACCATGATCCATAAAGGGCTATCTTCCGAATAATGGTCCTAAATTATCAAGACAGAAATTATACCCTAACAGGGCCTCAGTCACGTGTCAACTGCGCACTTCCGGGAACTATACCGCCACCGCCGAATTGCGAACGCCACCGCGGACTCACGAGCAAATAAAATGAAGGCAGCTGCAGGAAATGCGGTATCTGCTGCTCGTTGAGTCCCAGCCATCTAGTTTAGGCCCAATCCACGCCGCGTGAGAGGCCTGGGGGATACTCTCGGCGGTGGCGAAAGTCACCAGAAGTGCACAATCTAAATCGCCGGAAGTGTGCAATTGACACGTGAGTGAGGCCCTGTTAGGGTATATTTTCAGCCTCGATAATTTGGGACCATTATTTGGAAGATAGCCTCCATAAAGTTTTAAATATGAAACCAGACTGAAAGAGAAGCCACCTCTCACCACTTTTCCATTTCTAAAAAGACACACACAAAATTCAGCAGGCAGACTAAATCAAGCACAAAAGAGAAAGCAAGAAAAAAAAATAATTTACTACTTACCCCAGATCTCACATCAACTGCTTCTTTAGCCTGTTTAGGAAAAAAAAAATGACACACAGTGTATCAAGAACCAAGTAATTTTTATGTAAACGTAAGTTACTAAACAACAATGATTCTGAAATTGTACTTCTCTGTATCACATTCTGTAAGGGGAAAATGTTTATATGTTATAATATGTTACTGATTAAATGTTTAAGAAACCATAAACAAAACACCAACTACTAAGAAACTGGTAATTTGAAGAAAGAAAACCAAATATATAGAGGACTGCGGGTTTATAATTCTACAGAAAAAGAACTGACTTCATTCAAGCCCGATTTATACCAGCTAGCTCAGTAGCTCTTCATAGACACCTCATATCCCAAATGACATTACAGGCATAACACTAGCTGTGCTCAAAGGTATTCAGCAGCTGAGTACAGCCATCCAAATGTGTTTTCACAAAACAATGGTAGTCATGTACAGCACATTATACAGACACAATGGTTTTCACAAAACAATGGTAGTCATGTACAGCACATTATACAGACACAATGGTTTTCACAAAAAAATGGTAGTCATGTACAGCACATTATACAGACACAATGGTTTTCACAAAACAATGGCAGTCATGTACAGCACATTATACAGACACAATGGTTTTCACAAAACAATGGTAGTCATGTACAGCACATTATATAGACACAATGGTTTTCACAAAACAATGGTAGTCATGTACAGCACATTATATAGACAAAATGGTTTTCACAACACAATGGTAGTCATGTACAGCGCATTATACAGACACAATGGTTTTCACAAAACAATGGTAGTCATGTACAGCACATTATACAGACAAAATGGTTTTCACAAAACAATGGCAGTTATGTACAGCATATTATATAGACAATGGTTTTCACAAAACAATGGTAGTCATGTACAGCATATTATAAAGACAATGGTTTTCACAAAACAATGGCAGTCATGTACAGCATATTATATAGACAATGGTTTTCACAAAACAATGGTAGTCATGTACAGCATATTATATAGACAATGGTTTTCACAAAACAATGGCAGTCATGTACAGCACATTATACAGACAATGGTTTTCACAAAACAATGTTTATTTTTCCTCTGTACGGAAACATATGGGATACCCTGAAATTCTCAACCAATTAGCATTCAATGGGTGACAGGATTAAGTTTATTTCTGGCAGCACACAATGGTATTCACCGCTGGAATCTTTTTTTTTTTTTTTTTTTTTTTTTTTTTTTTTTTTGAGGCATCACTTTTTAGTGCTGCTGTGGAAAACACTCTGTGATGACTACCAGCCCAGCATACTATTCTTAGTAAACTCAGTCATAACCTGTTGTGCTAGACATTTGTACAGTTGTAGAATACAATAAATTCTATTAGCTAGACATCTTGTAAAGATCTCTCTTTCTCTCTCTCTCTAGCTTGACGGGGAAGCTGCTATTAACACAGAAGAAGAAGAAAAAGTTCACATGAGTGGGACTCACCACTGCAAGTACCTCCAGTGTCTCTTGACTCGGAGGTTGTGAGAATGGAAGTGTTGCATGGGAGGAATGAGAGGAACTGCTGCGTGGTGGGCTGATAGACGGACTTGGTGATGCTGTACAACTGAAACATAAAAATAGATGGTTATACATGTTCTACACAAAGCAAAACATAACTAGACTATCTATCTACCTTGTGCAACTTACAAAATAAGAGACAAACACATGCCAGATTTGGCTATTCAGAGTTTAGAAGTTAATGCTGAGATACTGACTTCACTGCACCTGATTTTATGCCGCATGGCTCAGCATTTCTATGCAGAACGGCTAGCTGCCTGATGAGGGTGTCGAACAAAGCATGAACTTTGTGCTCTCGAGACAGAGGTTTTTCTATGCAGAACAGCTACTGCCTGATAGGGTGTCGAACAAGGCATGAACTTTGTGCTCTAGAGACAGAGGTTTTTCTATGCAGAACGGCTAGCTGCCTGATAGGGTGTCGAACAAAGCATGAACTTTGTGCTCTAGAGACAGAGTAAAAAGTAAAGGACCCTTTTCCACGTCTTTAGGCGTATAGGGCTAGACCTATATTTTTATACACCAATCGGCACAAGATAGGTGATGTGGTCGGCATCACGCCAGCCACCTTTACTTCCCAGGACTGCACCCGGTACCCACTCAAGGCTGGATCGACCTGGGAGCCAAGGTCAATTTTGAAAATAGTCCGGCTCCGCCAAGGAGCGAACCCACGACCTTCCGATTCGCAGCGAGTGTCTAGCCGCTCAGCCACGGTGACTCCCCTCTAGAGACAGAGGTCTCCGTAAAATCTGCATCAGTGAATCAAATCATGCATCAGAAGCCGGTATTAAGTTTTTGACCACTTCATCCTAGTATAAATCTCGTTGTGTGACTGTATATTATTTTGGGAAGTTAATGTTGTGGTTGTAACTTTGCATATAAAACCATGTAAAAGATTTCATCACTATTAGAGCTATGCTGGCAAGAACACAACATTAGAAATCTAGGTTGGCTGTCATAAAAAGAATTTACTCTTGTAAAATTTAAGTTGTGGTTTTTTTTTTTTTGGCTTCCTTCTTCTTCTCCGTGGTCACCAGCTGTAAACTGTGGTGGAAAGTTCTGGTTGTTTGTCCACTTCTGTACTTTATAGACAGCTAAACAATTCCAAAAAAAATATGTGCATGTATATTCAGCTAAACAAATCCAATCAAAAGTGCATACACGTTCAGACAGCTAAACAATTCCAACAGAAAGTATGTGCATGTACAGACATCTAAATTATTCCAATGGAAAGTATGTGCATGTACAGACGGCTAAACAATTCCAACAGAAAGTGTGTGTATATATATACAGACATCTAAACAATTCCTACAGAAAGTATGTGCATGTTCAGACACTTAAACAATTCTAACATGCAAGCCGTCTGTCTCAGAGTAAAAGCAGGCAGAAAGAAAAATAGAAAGAAAAGGAATAGAAAGAAACAAGAGCAGACAGAAAAAGACAGCAGAAGAGAGATTGCTCGATCCCAGCTCTGGGCTTTGCGCTGGTTTTGACAGTGGTACAGATAAGCCGACAGCCCAAAAAGCAACAGCAAACTACTGGATGTAAATTTGCCTAGAAAAATCACAACAGCTAAAAAAAAATGCTGGGGTCGGTTCTGCAACGTCCCGTAAAGAATTAAAACTAACTTTAACTTGTAGTGAATGGTATTTATCGTTAATTATTAAAATATGCATGAATAAAATAATGTATGACAAAACTGAGATCAGAAGGGCAGAATGTTGGATAAGACCTGCATACCCAGTTTGTTACATTCTGACAATTTAGTTAGTTCGTATGTTAGAATATTCCCTTTGTGGATTCCCGGGCCCCACTTTAGGATACAAAAACAACAGACCCATTGGCAAGCATATCATAAAAGGTGAGACTAATTAGGGGTTGCTGAAAGCAGATTTTTAGGAGTTACAGTTTGCAGATCTTGCAGCCTAGCTGTAAACCACAACACGCCACCTGCCTTTTAAGGGGCAAACACAGAAAAAGAATGTCAGAATACACAGTGAGTGACACACAAAAACAGCGAGTCAGTGATGGGACAAGAGTCACTAGTATAGACCCACTTACACACTAGTTTTCAACCTGTGGGTCGCGACCCTTTTGGGGGTCTAACAACCCTTCCACAGGGGTCGCATAAAACAATAGGAAAACACATGTTCACTGAAGTTACTAAGTAGCAACAAAAAAAAAACATTATGACAGGGGATCACAAAACACAAGCAACTGTATTAAAGGGTCGCAGCATTAAGAAGGTTGAGAACCACTGACCTAACAGATCTGATTAAAAAGTCACACTCCTGTACTGCTATACTCACTTGAGCTCTGCAAAGCTACTTGACAATGACTGACTTTTGCTGTAAGCCATATTAGGATGTAAAATCTGCTCTTTAGGTACCTGGTCAACAAAACAGTTATGTTTAAGTTATCCATATTGTTAATAATGTATTTATAACTACAACCTTAACTGGCTTTTATTAATGAAATTAGGATTACTTTCATTGGAAACCAAACACCTACGTTTAAGTTATCATTATTGTTATTAATGTATATTTCTTCTAAATCCAAGTGCATTTGCCTGAGAGGCGATGAACCAACAGTCTGCATACAAATAAGCCAGACATGCAGGCAAATCTGAAGTTCTGGAACAAGATTAAAGTCCAAAACTAGAACTTTCCGCCAGTGTTTACAGCTGGTGAACACCAACAAGAAGAAGATGTTTTTTTAAACTATCATCCTTCAGTGGCTGATTATGAAAGTAACAACATCTTAATTAGCAACATAACTTTCAAAGATAGATGTTACTCTTTGAGGATCCCATGTATGGGAAATGGCCAACTGTCTCTAGCACATCACCATCAATGATGATGGCTGGTCTATCAACAACACCTTGCGCCATATACATAATCTTATACCATATACATAAAACCCTTCTGGCGCGCTACTTGGAGCAAACTGACCAAAAAGACGAAGCTACAAGAATAGGGGTTAAGATGAAACTGTCGATGCTGTGCGAGAACACTGTGCTAGGCACTGATCTCACGATCACTGCAGATACCTTAAGAACTTGCCTCAAGAAATCGCGCAGCAATGCTCCAGGCCCTGACGGCATCCGATACAACGACATGCTCATGATGTCGAATGCTGATTTGAAAAGCGTGGCAAAGGAATTCAATATCAGCATCCAGAGTGGCCAGATACAAGAGTTATTGTTCCATAGTTATTTGTTCCCACTACCAAAGCCCAATAAAAACCACTCGAAGATCTGCGGCTACAGAATCATCTCGATGCAGAATACTGTTGGCAAACTTTTGGAAAAAATTGTCGCACAAAGATTGACCACCTACTTGGAACTACATGATAAGTTCCCACCAACACTTGGAGGGTACAGGTTAAATAAAGAGACATGGTTCAATGCTGCAGTTTTCGCCTACGATGTGTACGAGGGATTTCAGATTAAAGAAGAGACATGTGCGGCAGTGTTGGACTTAGAAGATGCCTACAATAAAGTACCATACGATTATTTAATGCAATTACTGCTTAAACTAGAAGTTAATCCTATTCTGATCCGCTGGATTGCAGCGGTCCTGTTCCAGAGAAAGATTGTACTAAGATGTGGTAGCTGGTCCTCAGAACCGCAAATGATATGTCCAGGCTTGCCACAGGGATCACCGCTATCACCAGTCTTATTCAACGTTTATACCGTGATGATCACTGAGCAGCAGTTGAATGGAAAGGGAAGGACTTTGTCATTTGCTGATGACATTTTGATTTATCGACGAAGGCGTGATAGACAGGAGATCGCCAGCACTATGCACAAAGAACTCGATCGAATTGCAGCCTGGTGTGATGGTTCCAATGCCTATGTCAATCCTTCGAAGGCATCAGTGTCATGGTTCTCTTTGAACAATCACATTGTCAAGTCGGACTTACCAGAAGTGAAAATGCGTGATAATGTATTGATCAGAACCAACGTTATGACGTTTCTCGGGGTGAGGTTCGATCGCAGCTTGTCATTCAGGGAACACGTTGACCATGTGATAACAAAAGCACGCAAAGGTCTATCTGCAATGAGGATTATGGCTGCTTCCAATATTGAGCAAAGATTACTAATACTTCTATTCTACGGTCTGGTCCTTTCCCCCATTAAATACGCTCTGGCCATCCTCACTGTCAGTGCTACCCAGATTGAACGACTCGAAAAGGTGCAAAATGAAGCCATGCGCATTATTTTGGGATGTACTAGAGACACATCCTGTGGAGCAATGAGGTATCTGCTTGACTTTCCAACAATGAACCAAAGGATCAGGATGTGGAGGGCTCGGGCCCTGATAAGAAACACCCACTGCATCAAGCGCTTTTTAGTGAAAAGGGCGACAGACTGAAGAGGGGGAAATCGTGGCTAGGTCGGGCAGAAGATGTTATTAGGCAAATATGCAGCCTAACCGACATCATACCTGATGCAGAATGGATACCTGTGCCTCAGGCGTTTATTTGTACAATTTCCTGTATTGTCACACTCAACAGGCGATGTAGAGAAGAGAATCCTGTTGCTGTTAATGCAGAGGTCAACGCTCTCATCGGTGAAAATTCAGACGAAGCAGATGCAATAATCTATACAGACGGATCCGTTATACGCCAAAGAAGAAGCGCATTGGCATTTACAGCACGCTCAGCGGGCAGAACAGTCAAAGAAGCCAACGGCGCCTTCTCCATGACAACCAGCAGCATGACGATGGAGGTGTTGGCAGTGACACAAGCGCTTGCCTGGCTTGAAACACAAAAATACACCCGTGTGTGTATACTCAGTGATTCAATGAGTATGATCCGGAGGGTTCAGGCAGGTTCAGTGCGAAGACAATGGCTTGAATCATTACAGAAGTCTACTGTTCGTGGGGTCACCTTTATTTTTGTTCCGGGATACGCAGGCGTCGATGGAAATGAAAGAGCTGACAGGTTGGCTGGATCCGCTATCACTACCGACGGTCAGCCTATGGATCATGCTGATATTATCAATGCCCTCAGAGAAATGGGAAGGATAGAGGACTTTGGTGGCAGTGAATCCACATCACTCGCCAGAATGGGGGACTTGGGAATTAAGATCGGCACAGCAAAAAACGAGACGCACACCAGCTACGCCAGAAGATTTGTTAATCAACATAGAACTGGTACTATTAGCCATCGGACGTTGGGGTTCATACTGAGGGGAGGTTCTGAGCACCTATGGACACGTCCGGAGTGCAATGAGGATAACCCAGCTAACTAGCTAACATAATCTTTGTCTTCTATTTGCTCCTTGTTAGTCCAATTTCACAACATGCATCAGTGAATGCAGATATGAATCAATGTACAGCACTCTTATTTCCACTAATTTAAATTACATCACATAGAGGACCTTGCATCTACTACTTTACAGCTGCCTGAAGTATATTGTTTACACTGAGTTGAGTTGAGTCAAGAATTGACATCACAGCACTCGGGGCACTCCCATGTGTGCTCCGTGCTTCAATCTGTTTACACAATATTCTTATGTCTGTAGCAGGCATAGGAGTGTGGCATGCATGTGTGTAGTACGTACCTCAGTCAAAACTGTACACTCGTATGATGGCTGGTATTTCTCCTGAAAATTAGATTTTGAAAGAAATATAATAACATGGGATTTGGATCAGAACTGTGCAATCAGCATTCAAAAGAATTCATAATATTCAGTAAAGAACCCTTTTCACACCAATGAGGCACTGGGCAGATAATACGACTCGTATTTTTCTAGACAAATCAGCACTTGATGGGTGATGAGGTCAACGTCATGTTGGCCATCTTAACTTCCCAGGATTTTACCTAGTACCCGTGTCAGCTTATCTGACGTGGCAGCCACAAAGCCAACTCTGACCCCCAAAAAAATTGCCAAAAAAAAAAGAGATTTAAACCCCAGACTTGTGGGTAAGCAGGTGGGCATCTAGCCACTATATACTACCAGGCTTACAATTCTCAAAATAGTTTTCACATAATTCGACACAAGTAGCGCAGTGATTTCATCACAAGTGTGGGGGGAAGTTAAGGCTGTTGTGATGTGCATAAGGAGACACTCCGTACTTCACCTCGGGAACCAACAGCTTCTGTGCAAGGGATAATGGCTCATATGAACATAAACCAAGCTGGCAGGGAATCTTGGAATTGGGGGTCCCCAGAGATGTGGTATCTAGAAACCCTCTGGCTCTTATCAGCCCACCCCCATGGGTGATAGTGTGTAACTAACCCTCCTCATTTGGAAAATGAGTAAAGACCGCTGGCAAATATTTTACTATATGACAAACCTTATTTCAAACACCTGTTGACCGAAAGACTTTCCAATTAGGCTCAAGTGTCTGTCAGTCAGGTGTCAGGATGTCGTAATCAGCTGAGCAGCCAACACACTGCGAGAGGTTAAGACTCAGCCCTAGACCATGAGATTTGTTTACAGCTTAGGTGAGCAACATCCCCTGTATGCAGTACCTCGCAGTTTTGACCCACAATATAACAGCAGTGTTTTTTTTAAATGTCCGGCCTTCAAACGTCCAAATGTGCAACAGACAAGGTTCAAATGTCCTTGACCAGAGGCTCACTCAACGAAGAGTCAGTACCAGGCAAAGAAGCCATGCATGATGCATCTGCTTCTCTGACACTGTCATGCTAAGTGTCACGATGCATCTGCTTCTCTGACACTGTCATGCTAAGTGTCACGATGCATCTGCTTCTCTGACACTGTCATGCTAAGTGTCGCGATGCATCTGCTTCTCTGACACTGTCATGCTAAGTGTCACAATGCATCTGCTTCTCTGACACTGTCATGCTAAGTGTCACGATGCATCTGCTTCTGACACTGTCATGCTAAGTGTCACGATGCATCTGCTTCTCTGACACTGTCATGCTAAGTGTCACGATGCATCTGCTTCTCTGACACTGTCATGCTAAGTGTCACGATGCATCTGCTTCTTTGACACTGTCATGCTAAGTGTCACGAGGCATCTGCTTCTCTGACACTGTCATGCTAAGTGTCACGATGCATCTGCTTCTCTGACACTGTTATGCTAAGTGTCACGATGCATCTGCTTCTCTGACACTGTCATGCTAAGTGTCACGATGCATCAACATTTAAGGTGTTTGCCTCGCTGAAGGAGACTGAGCCCATTTGTGTGGCCATCAAAGTCCTGAACCTGCAGGCTGCTCATGCAGACAAAGTTCAAATGTACAAGAACAATTTTGGTTCCAAATGCAATACATAGATATTTTTTTAAACAAAGACAAAATGTTTAGAGATTTAGATAGCTGTGAAAATACATTCAAGAAAGATGAAGAAATAAGAGAGATGTCTGAACAAGAGTTATAAGAAAAAGATGGCAATATATCTGGCACATCAAAAGGAGATGTTGACAGAGAATGAATAAAGAGACACTTAAAAAGAGAAAGAAATAGGTTGAGGACATGAGACTGTCCAAGAGAAAAACTAAGTTGAACATGTTGAGAGAGGCCCCCAGTGCTGGTCTAGATCCCCTCCATGAGATCAAAATAACTGTGCAGGATAGAATAGAATAGGGGATTAGACTGCGTGACCTAGCTGACACAAAATGGCAAGATAGGATGTTGATGATGATGATGATGATGACGATATCTTCTTCTTCACCAGCTTTAAACTCCGACAGATTGTTTATTCAACGGATCAACATCATGGCACATGGGTGTAACCCATAAGTGCTCTGTTCTTCTTCTAACTGAAGCCTGAGTTTAAAGAATCTCAGCGCAGTGCATGAACCGGCGAGGATTTCTGAAATACTTTGGGTAGATTTTTAACTCCAAATGTTGCCCGGGCAGCACCGTATGGCTACTCTTTTCGATTTCCAACTGCCCAGGTATTTTTCATGTGCACAAAAATACACACGGACATCTGGTCTTACTATTCAGAGACCCGGGAAGTCCATATGAAAATATTCCAGCATTCACTGGGGTATAAATCCAGGACCTCTAAAGCACTTGAGGCGGACACCATGCCTCGACACCCCACAGCCCCCAAACTCCAGCAGAAAGTCCTGCTTGTTTGCCCATTTCTGGACTTTAGTCTTGTACCAGAACTTGAGTCTTGCATGCAAATCAGTTTGACAGATCTAGCTTATTTGTATGCAGACTGTTGGTCCTTGCTGCTCAGGCAGATGCTCTGCTACTTTGAATGAAACATCCCTAATCAGTAGCACTTTACAACATGCTTATGTCCCCACGACAGGGTCCTGGAATCCACATTGAGGATGATAAACCAGATGTGCCAGGTTAAGAAATTCTTGGCATCGGAGTTAGAAATCAAAACTGAAAGTGCAGAAATCCAGTACAGCTGACCTTTACCGTGAAGGCGGCACCTGACTGACTGATAGTATACACACCAAAAACACTTACCTTTTCTACTTCTGGCCTCCTCTCCATTTTCTCTCTGTCTGTTTTATGTTTTCTGTCTGCTCCTTTAGGCTGTGAAGTAAATAAATGTTTCATGCTTGAACTTATTAAACAATCACAACTTATTGTCAGACATAAGAACACATGTTAGGAGCACATAATAAAGTCAAGGATTCTTTGCACACCTTTGGTGCAACAGGAATATAGTAAAAAAGACCCTTTTCCACACTCAGTGGGTGATGTGGTCAACAAAATGAAGACTGCCTTTACTTCCTAGGATTCGATTTAGTTTCCACTTACAGCTAAGTCAACCTGAAAGCCAAGGTCATTTTTTGTGTGTTTAAATCAGGCTTCATGCGGATTTGAACTCATGACTTTCTGGTCCATGGATGCATATCTAGGCGCTAACCACAGCAGCCTTCTAAGTAATAAAGAGTTAGACCTACATTTGTATAGACCAATTGGCACCTGATGGGTGTGGCTAAAATCAACTGAAATTAATGTGGCTTTGCAAGCAAGACAGAATAGTTAGAATTCCCCCCCCCCCCCTTTTTTTTATAATAATAGTAAGTCTGGATTTAATGTTGTTTAGAAAATGCAGACTTAAAGCAAAACAAAAATAAATACCTTAAAAACTTTGATCTGGCACGAAGCTGCATGAAGTAATTTAGCATCATCTGTGTTTGTGTATGTTTCAACCTGTGGAATTATCGTATGCATTACAATTATTGAACCTCACACAATTACAACAGGAATTATTACAGACAGGCAGTATTTGGACAGCCAAAACAGAAAATATAAGAATGTCCCATAAGTAAAGAAAACAGCCAAAACAGAAAATATAAGAATGTCTTATAAATAAAGAAAACGGCCAAAACAGAAAATATAAAAATGTCTTATAAATAAAGCAAACAGCCAAAACAGAAAATATAAGAATGTCTCATAAGTAAGGACAACAGCCAAAACAGAAAATATAAGAATGCCTCATAAATAAAGAAAACAGCCAAAACAGAAAATATAAGAATGCCTCATAAATAAAGAAAACAGCCAAAACAGAAAATATAAGAATGTCTTATAAGTGAAGAAATAAGCTAAAGGTTGGGGGGAGTGGGGTCTGAAAAACTATTTTTAAAAAATAGGCAGAGAAAAAGATGAAATAATATTAATTACAGGTGTAATAAGAGTAAAAACTGTCATAGTGGTGAAAACAATAGTAGCAATAACGTTAATGGTGATAATAATAGTAGAAGGAAAAAACATACTAATAATTCCTAACGCCAATGGTGATATTATTAGTAGTAGGAATAAACAATCTAATAATCCATAAATAGTATTAACAGTTGTCACCATAGCATCAGCATTTTAGTACAATAATGTAAAATATGAACCTTCTTCTTGTTTCTGAGTTTGTCTGCTGGCAAGTTGTGGTTTACAGCTAGGCTGTGATACGCCCCTTTTGGCCAAACATATCCAAGTTCATCAAATCCAGAATTAGTCACCTTTTACATGCATGTTAAGGAGCAGAGGATGAATTCTCAACCCCGCCCCCCCCCTCCTCCCTTCTTTTCCAAAGGGGTAGCAGAACTTACACAGGAAGAATATAAAACTAAATCCTGGCCCAGAAGAACATTATAACAATGAAGTTATGCAAAATATGAACTCAAATCTTGACCTAACAGAACATTATAACAATGAAGTTTTGCAGAATATGAACTCGAATCTTGACCTAACAGAACATTATAACAATGAAGTTTTGCAGAATATGAACTCAAATCTTGACCTAACAGAACATTATAACAATGAAGTTTTGCAGAATATGAACTCAAATCTTGACCCAACAGAACATTATAACAATGAAGTTTTGCAGAATAGGATCTCAAATCTTGACCCAACAGAACATTATAACAATGAAGTTTTGTAAAATATGAACTCAAATCTTGACCCAACAGAACATTATAACAATGAAGTTATGTAAAATATGAACTCAAATGTTGATCCAACAGAACATTATAACAATGAAGTTATGTAAAATATTAACTCAAATCTTGACCCAACAGAACATTATAACAATAAAGAGATGTAGCACCTGAATTCTAAATGGAACACCCTTTTCCCCTCCGTGTTTCTTGGCAGTGAACTCAGTGGATATACAGTGTACCCGCACATAGATGCCCGTTTCCTTTGTTGGATCCCATATAAACTCCAGCTGATTGAGGCGGACTGCATCCAGGTTGACATTTATCAACCCATATGATAGTGGAATGTCTGCAGAGAGAAGTGGGAACAAACATTAATTAACAAGTATTAACAACAGTAAACAACCCTTTTCATGCCAGTCCTCTTCTTGATCAATGGTATTTTAAGAATTTTTCTATAACATTTCCATTCAAAAGCTCCAAACTTTTCCTCAGTGACTGAGTGAGAGTCCAGGACTCGCAACCGTAAGTTGCCACAGAAAAAAAAACGCATGATCTCAAGATTTTTACTTTAACCAATTTACTAGCGCTTTGCCATAGGTTCTTCATTCTGTTTAATCTCTGCATTGCTAATGCAAGTCTTCTTCTTACTTCTTTCGAGCAGTCGCCACTGTTGTTCACTATAGAGCCCAAGTATTTGGAATCTGTTACATTTTCTATTTCTTCATTTTCCAATGTGATATGTGGTTAGTGTGCTAAATTTACTGAGGACATAAAATTCAGAAAAAGATTCACTTCTTGCTGTGCTTTTTGATGGCCAGAATAATTTTTTCTAAACCTTGTACACTGTTGGAAAGAAGAACAGAGTCATCTGCAGATCTGAGTTCTGGGACAGGATTACCTCCAATTTTTTGTCGATCAAAGCTCTTACATGCCTCATCGCTAACTGTGTTTCTCATAACATTTTCAGCATATATGTTAAAGAGGGAGGGTGAAAGAATGCAGCCCTGATTCCTCCTCTCAGCACTTCAAACCATTCTGATGTTTCACCAGCTACTCTGACCGCTGCTTGTTGTTCACGGTAAAGAGATTCCATTGAGTGCATCAGATGTTTTAGAAATCCTATGCCTCTCATTATATGCCACAGTTTATGGTGTTGCACACAGTCAAATGCCTATGAAAAAGGTATGAAGATCTATCTTGTATTCTCTTCACTTTTCTAGGATGATTCTCATATGTAGAAGCTAATTGAATAGTGCTTGAATTTGATAATGCAGAATAAACTGTGCAGAAGTGAGTAGATCAAGAATTTTAGGGACAGAATAGAACAGCACTTCTCAAACCGTGCCGTGAGTGTATGCCAGGGCTGCTGCGGCAATAATAAAGAATTTGTTCCAAATCTGCTTGAGATCAGCGAAGACAGCAGTTTAAAACAGAAATCCATGAAAGAAACCAAGAAGAGTTCTTGATACAGCTGTATTAAAAAAACAATGCTATTGGCAAGTCTTCAGTGCATTCTCAATGCAGGCTTATATTTAAAAACAAATACAGAAGCAACCTTCAAGCGATCTGAGGGGACAATTAACTAAACTTCCCATAAACATAAAGGAAATGATGAAAAATTCATGCAAACAGTTCAATTCATCGCATTAAAGACAACTGAACATTAAATTTGCACTTGTTTTTTCTTCTTCTTTTCTTAAGTATTCAAACCGCTTTAAGTGAAGGTGCGCCGATAATTTTTTTTTTGCCCAACAAGGGTGCCGTGACGAAAAAAGTTTCAGAAACGCTGGAATAGAAGATTATGAAACCAGAGCAAATCTTAACTGAATGGACCTTAAGGAATGCTGCTTTGACAGTGTAGCACTGAAACTAAGACAGTACATTGTAAAAGACTGCACAGTGTTTTACTAGGTTATTTTGTAACTGCTTGCGTTATTCTTTTTCTTCGTCACGTTCAGCGACTGTAATCTCCGGCGGAAAGTTCTGGCTGTCTTTCCACCTCGGTACTCTAGTCTTGTTCTAGAACCTGAGTGTTGCATGCACATCTGTTTCAGAGATCTGGCTTATCTGCATGCAGACTGTTGGTTCCTTGTCTCTCAGGTAGATGTACTCTGACTTTGAAGCAGTGAGTCTATTCTTGATTTCCCTACAATGGGGCCCTGGAACCAGTGAGCATGTGTTATATGGTTGAATAGGGTTTCTGAGATCTGCTTCTCTTGCATTCTCACCTGGGTAGTGGCTCTTTGAGTCACTGGGTGTTAATCTTTCAGAATGCAGAACTGGAGTGGGAACACAATTTTTTTTTTTTTAATGTTATAGGTAATACTGCATGACTACCTTCCCATACTGGTCTTGTCTACCATAAGCTGGTAAGAATGCAGGATTGAGCTCTACCACCCCGAGAAGCAGCAACACCGATAATTTTTGGTTGGGTTCAACTCCCTGTAAATGTCGCTTTTCCTACAGTGCTGTTTAAAAGATTCATAGTTAATGCTACAGGCTGAGTCTGCGACTGTGCAGCCTTTTAGGAGGTCAGGATATTAATACAATAATGAAAAACAGCATTTACAAGGGTTTCCTTATAAATCAAATGGCTTTATCAAAGCCAAGCTGAGGTCATACATTTCCCGTAGCCCCAATGAGAAGTCATGGGGTCACAGCATGAGTCAGATATTGTTTTTAAGCCTTGTGAAATGTATTCCATTTACCGCTTGACCCTATTTATGTTTCCTGATTACTCCCTCTATATATCTTTATAATTTCAGGGGGTTGGGAGAGGGGATTTAAAATGTACATAAATAATCTTTTCAAATTTATTAATGGCGTGTGTAAAAATTGACTTCTCAGGATTTCCCACAGGGACATGATCCACTATTTAGCATTATCGGAGTGACAGCATTAATAACTCTCTCTACAGTGATAAAAAAACAGTCGCCAAAGGCTCTGCTACTCCCTGCTCCATATAATTCAGTCACCAAGACATAAGATACAAATTAAGTGGCCGAAAGACTGGAATAGTCAACAAACCTATATCCAAAATACGTTCTCCTGGTCTCATTTGTTTCCAGGAATCAATCTGTTCCTTCTCCATGAACTGTAGTCTTCGGTCATGAAATAACACTTTGACCAGACTCTAAAAACAATACAAAAGATTTTAGTGGCATACCTCTGGTCATTTTTTTTTTTTTAAATAAGTTACTGAAAAGAACACTTGCATCAAGTTCTTCTTCTTATTCACCTTTTGTATATGCCATTAAAAGGGTAATTGACAAGTTGAGTTGTAGTTTACAGCCAGGCTGCAACATTTACACCTTCCTGAACAATATATCCAATTTTGCTTAGCTCCTTAGTCACCCTACACAACACCTTACTGTTAGGGTGGGTGGGGGAAGGTGGTAGCAGGGATACCTCCCGCCCCCTCCATCGGGGTCCCAGAACCCACACAAGGATATCAAGTTCTAAAATAAAAAATACCAAGCTTTGAAATGGCTCTGTTTTCCAAATTGACAGCATTATTAAAAATTAATTTCAATTAAGAAATTCCAGCAGATTGTGGCGGAAATCTCTCAATCGACATTCATTTAAAATATTGTTAATTACAACCAAGATACTCCAACATTTCTTAAATTTAAGAAAATATCTATCCATTTACTTCTAGGCATATTAGGCTGGAAATTTTTAATGGTCACTTGTATTATATTTACTGGCCATAATAAACAATTAGAAAGTCAACAATAACTACCATCAAACATCAAATGAACCCAAAAAGAGAAACTTGATGATCTGGGCTTCACTGAAGACAATGCTCTCCTGATCCACTTGTATAATCAAATTCACAAAGAATGTGACATGAGGTCACAACTATTCGGTTTGAAACCTAATTAGGAAGGACAACAATAATTAGACTAATCTAGCATACAACCAAATATCTCAGTGGGAAATCCCCTTCATCATGAGTTGGAATTATACACTTATCTTGTTAGCAATCTATACAAAGATGAGAGAACAGGTAAATAGTAAAGCAAAAAGGCAAGAATAGACACTCACAGCACCAGACAACTTGTGAAAGTCAAAACAAATTAAAGCAGTACCAGGATATTTCACTTTAATGTCACCTCAGTACTAACTACTATAGGGATCAGAAACATGGAGAACAAGAACACACTCTAAGGATCCCTAAGAACATTCTTTATGGTGAATTACAAATGTATGGGAGATGAGGTTGGCCTTTACTATGCTATCAAAATATGTGCAAGCAGGATATGAAGGATACAGTTATTGAGATTGATTCACGGAAACAGGATGCCTTATGGCACAATGCATAGAGGGGGAACATTAGGAAAGGAAAAGGGATAAAGGAGAACAGGATTGCAGACACGTTAACCCTGTCTTCCAGAGAAGGCTTCAAACACAAAAAATGATCCATAAACACGTGGGAATTCCTGGAGAAAACAAAATCATTTAGAAACCAACAATTTTACACACAGATCACTCATAAATTTGTTTAAATGTATTTATGTATTTTTTTAAAATATATATAAAGTGAGTAATTAATAAAACAGAGCAACACATTAAATAGAATATATTTTCAGGGGCTTAAAAACATGCATCCGGTGACTCATGCCATGGCCTCTATTGAAAATGTGACATTAAAAAGGTTTGACAAAAGCAATTTGGTTCACACACCTCTCCCCCCCCCCTACTTTTAGTTAATATATTTATATCCTGATCTCCTAAACGCTGTGCAGGTGCAAACACAGCCAATAGCATTAACTAGGCATCACACTGACCCAGCACTACAGCAAGTCGGTAAAGCCTTTTTTATGAGGGATTAGACCAAACTGGAGGTATCTGTTTCATGGCTTCTCAGGGCAACAGGGTTAAGAGTTAAGCTTCTGAGAAGAATCGTGTCAGCCACAACAATGGTCCTGAAACCTTGTGAGCTTATCGTGGAAGATTCTTCTTAAAGTGAGCTGGTCTTGCTAGTCACACTTGCCTTCACCATGGGCTGTGATTCCCATGCTTTCCTACGGCACAATAGAACACTACTGACAACAAAAATAGATGGTCAAGATGGCATGGAAAGTGAATGTTTATTATTCGGCCAGCGTCTGAGAGTCGATTTTGGACATCCTGGATGTAAAAGTTGTGATATTCTAGTCCTAGTGTGACCTTTCAAGAAAATTTAAAAACACTCTGACTAGTCCAGCAAACCGACAGTGGATTACAAACTGGCTAGAATGACAGTGGTAACAAACCAAGAGGTAGACCACGCTGATGAAAAAAAATACTATATATGAAGCCAACAGAGTGGTCTGGTTAAAGATCTCTTCCTGCCCTGACACTGCGAGGCATTCAAGGAATAGAGAAAAGAAGAACAATAATGTATGGGGAACAGAATCCAAGAGAGAGGTGAACGCTTCCCCCGTGTGGGTTCCGGGGCCCTATTGTGGGGAAAACAAGAATAGACCCACTGCCTCCCCAAAAGCATGTCGTAAGAGTCGACTAACTGGGGAGCTTCCTTTGAAGTCGGAGTGCATCTGCCTGAGAGGCAAGGAACCAGCAGTCTGCATTCAATTGAATCTTATCTGTAAAACTGATGCACACGCAACACTCAGGTTCTGGAACAGGACTGCAGTCCAGAAGTGGACGAACAACCAGAACTTTACACCAGAGTTTACAGCTGGTGAACGCGAAGAAGAAGAAGAAGAGGTGAACGATATGGGAAAGGCTTGAGCGATCTGCAGGAGATAATATAAAATATAATAGCCAGGCGTTGATTGGCTGAGGTTCTATGCTCCAATGGGGAATAAATGGCAGAAGAGGAAGAGCACTAAACACCGAGCTACTATGGTCTCATATCTCAGCAACTGTGACTAAGAATTAGATGCTGATGATGTGTATTATTACTAATGTAGAGCTTTGCGAGAGAACTAAACAGGCTCCAGTGGACCAAGAGGTGAGGAAAAGACGATGGCATTGGATAGGACACACACTGAGAAAACAGGAGAACAGCATAACTATAATGTCTTTAAATTGGAACCCACAGAGGCATAGGAATAAAGGAAGGCCAAAAAATACATGGAGAAGAGAGCTAGAGAAAGAAGTTAAAAAGATAGGGAGGACATAGGGAGAGCTCCATGCAATGGCGAAGGATAGAACGACTTGGCGTGAGTTGGTTGAGGGCCTATGCTCCATTGGGGGATAGAAAGGCAGAAGAAGAAGATGTGTATTATTTGTATGCTAACTGATGTATGAATGAATTAATGTATGCAAGGAGTGAGGCCACAAGGGCCGAATGTAGGATGGACATCCTTACCCAATACTTAACCCAGTGAAATTAAAGTTGGTTTGTTCATTCATTCATTGATGACAAACTTACCCTCAAAAACTTTCCCTGGAGTTCAGACAGGTCTCCTAATTTCTTCAGCTTGATTTCATATGACTGACCTATAAGCAAACAAGTCATGAAATACAACATCCTGTGGTGAACAAATATGTGTCAGTAGAGTGAAAGTGAACGACCTTTTGAGGCCGCTGGCACATCCGGCAGATACTAGTTAATCCACACTTTTATAGGCAAACTGGCCCTGAATGGGTGATGATGACAACGTTGTGCCAGCCAGTTTGACTTCCTATGACATTTCCTGGTACACATTTGAGGTCTGGTCAACCTGGAAGTCCTGGTGCAATTATAAATCATAATCTTCAAATAAGTGTAAGTAGGTTTTCAATAGTCAAGGACTCTTTTCAAGCATGAGGTGTATCAGGGGTGTGGGTGCGTGTGTGTATGTGAATATATTTATATATACACATATATAAATGTATGCGCATGTATAAATATATATATACATATACACATGCGCATACATTTATACATGTGTATATATATATATATATATATAGTCAGATAGTTGGAGTGAAAGAGACACAGGGGAATACCAAAAGGATGCTGGACAGTCTGGCATCATGACACAGATGTACATCTGTATAAGTGCAAAAAAGCAGACATACAGGTTTACTAATACCATAAGGTACGAACTATAAGAAGAAGAAATAATTCCCATGTAAAATACAACACGAAGGCAGGATCTGAACTTAGACAATTGTTTAACAAAAAGAAGGGTAGGTACACTGTGCAGCCACGACATGTTTAACAAACTCTTGACAGTTGAAGCAACATATGAACTCTACAATATTTTTAAAAAAATTAGTGAATTGTGACAAAAAAGCAAAATGAAATGGGGAAGCAGAACAACAGGCACAAAACAAAACAACACAAATCGACGTTTCGGTTGGGGCCTTTCTCAACATGAACTGAACTTCATCCCTGGCCTCAGTTGGTTTTGGAGGTCCTCATATATCCTTATAAGATAGTTCATGTGAAGAGATGGAAAGGTGTAAACAACAAGAGCTGAGGTCACACTATCAGAAAATAACCCCATGTACAAGAGATTAGAACAGTAATGTGGTTTCTTGAGAAATGATGACAAAACTACAATAAGAATGTAGTTTTAGAGAGGAACATTGAGAATACCATGGATAGACATAATGCAGATATAGCAAAAAGGGTCCAGCTAATTTCCAATATGTTCAAGAAATTCAATAAGAAAGAACGGCACAAAGGAAGCCTTAATATTTGTTTGCCCCCCCCCCCCCCCTCCCACAGCACTAAATGCCATAAGACTGTCCTTATATTTAATAAAGATCATCCTTAAAATAAGAGCCACACCAGTTTAGTGTATTTATCACTGTTATCTATCATTTAAGCTTACCTTGGTTGAGATATGTTAATGTTTCTTCATTCATTTTCACAGCAGGTGATGTGGCTGCCCCAAGAATATACTGGAATCTGATAGGATAACAGAAAATACTGCATTTTAAACAAGGTATTAGAATAATATGCATGTAATTCTACTATGAAAGATAAATGTAAGACATGATGGATACTGACATAGGCGTGAAATAAACTAGATCAAATTATACTTTAGCTGATGGATCAACCGAATTACCCACAAGCAATAAGAATGACCAAGTGAAAAAGTGACAAACTTGACACCCAAAAAATTTACTCAACGTAGAACCAAAATGTGACACAAAGTCACTTGAAGTCTCAATAAAGAACAGACCTTCCGCCCCACAGACAAGCACCTCATAATCAAATGTGATATCATAGCCTACCTGTAAAATGTGCCAAACGCCCTTTTAATGGTAAATGGGGAAGAAAAAGAATGAAAGAGCTGAAAGAAAGACATCCCTACGAGGATTCAAAGGCCCCATTTTGGGAAACAAAAAGAATCATACTGCACCTGCCTGAGGGTGCAGGAAACCAACAGTCTGCATTAAAATAAGCCAGATCTGTAAATTGGATGTGCATGCAAAACACTCAGGTTTTGAAACAAGACAAAAGTCCAGAAGCTGATAAAAAAACAGAACTTTCTGCGGAATTTTCAGCCAGTGAATGTGAAGAAGAAAGACAGAGAAATTTCCCACGATGAAAATCAGTATTCATGCCTCAGACTCACCACCTGAAGAGCCCACAAAGCTAATATGTGTATGCGCGTGTGTTTCTTGCCTGCAAGAAGAGAACCAGGTCATCACAGGTTCTCAATCTTTCATCCAATACAAGAGTTAACATTAACCCAAAAAAAATAGAGAGATTCTGCTTCTTTTGCATCTGTCCTTAACTCTTTAAGTCCCAAGGAACGCATCGTACATTCATAGGTTCCTACCTAGAAGCCCAATGAACGCATGATGCGCCGATGTTATTACTTTCGTTACTACCCTCTGGGCTTGTGATGCTAAACCCCCTGGGACTCAAAGAGTTAAAAGGGCAGTTGGCTTGTTGAGTTGTGGTTTACATCTAGATTGTTATATCTGTACCTTTTGGCCCAACACATCCAATTTCAGAAAATCCGGAATTAGGTGACCTCTCACAATATGATTGTTAAGGCGATGTGGGCATGCTTGTTAAGTGGAAGTAGGTCTCTTTCCCGTGCTAACAATGGGGACAGGTATAATAAGGATTCAACAAACAAACAAACCCACAGAGGGTCTTTCTAAGGACTAGTGCTGTTGAGGGTTAAAGCCTGAGAACACCAAACCAGTCAACATAGTCAAGGCAGAAATGAAAAACAGCGAAGGTCATGTACCAGCGAAGTACTTTAATAACCACCCCCACTTATAACCTTCTTAATAATAAAGCTGACAGAGCAGGTTGATATCAAACCAAATTAACAAAAAGACATGCAAGCAATCACTGTGCTGGCAAGCCTAGCAGTATCCATCATGTCTCACATTACTATTTAACAGAATTGTTCACGCACATCCTTGTCATTGAGGCTGGGATGAGACTATCTGTTTAATGATATGGCAGAAGAAATTAGACACTTCTGGAAAGAGAGACAGAGGAAGAAGACATTGAGAAAAGATTCTTGAAAGTCTTTTATCATAGTACAGAAAAATCTGATTGTCTTCTTGGTCTGCCTCATGGTCTATGACCATTCACCTCCATCATGTATACAGTTTTTACTTCTCTGTTATCTGACATTCTCTCAACATGCCCCAGCCATGTGTCTATTAGCTATCATGATACCAGTGATCAATGGTGATTTAAACAGACTATAAATTTCATTGTTGCTTCTCACTCCCGATTTCCGTCTGTTTGCAACTTTGATGGGTCCAAAGATTTGTCATAAGATTCTGTTTTCAAAAACCTGTAAAAAGGCTTCCTCTCTTTTAGTTATGCTCCAAGTTTCAGAGCCATATGAAACGACTGGTCTTATCAACGTTTTATATATTTTGATCTTGGTATTGCGAGACAGACACTTTGATTTTAACAGATGTTGAAGGGCATATTATACTTTATTTCCAGATTGTATTTCTTCTCTCAGCATGTTGGAGCAGTTGAAGTTTGCACCCAAGTACTTATTCGTTTCGGTTCGTTTGATTTGCATACATGCTACTGATACGAAGATCAACAGAAGCATGATTGTGAATGCCAGTCAGCAAGGCATTGCATAATGAAGATGATGAGTAAAAAGGAAATGAAATCTCTCTTAGTAAGATCAAGGAGAGGGGAAAGAGGAGAGGAAGAGGACCAAGAAAGAAATGGCTGAGGGGAAAGGCCTCAAACATCAAGTCCATTAAATCTGATTAACAGAGGTGGAGGGAACTGATCAGACAGTCAACATAAGCTGGTGATCCAATGAAACAATGCCACGGGACTGTGAGGATGATGAACATCAACATACTTGACTGGACACACAGAAAGGTGATCAGATCACAAATTGCATTACATCATTATTTATTCAAAGCCATTTTTTTTTTTTACAAGTGACATGGGTTCTTACAAAACTTACCCATTATCTAGATTCTCTTGTTTAAAAACTGGCAAAGCAAGTAAGGCTTCACTGAAACAAAACAAAAAGAGAAATTGTTTTTTTTTTAAATATTAAGGCCACATATCTATTTAATCCATAGACGCATAAAGTGAATAAATGCAATTTCAACTTCAAATTTTTTATGGCATACAGTGTTAGAATGCTTTGCTTTTCTTACAAGCCCAGAATTTTTTTTTTTTTAATGCTCGATATTTTGAGGTGAGATAATGCCTTCATCAAAAAATATATTTCTGTGTCCATCCTTATAGAGGCAGTTAGCGTGTTATTTTATGGTCTACATCTACAATCTTCTTCTCCACCTTCAATGGCTGTCTGTAAACTCCTGTGAAAAGTTATGGTGTTTGTTCACTTATGAACTCTAAGCCTTGCTCCAGAACTTGAATTTTGTGTGCACATCTGTTTTACAGATCTGACTTGTGTGTATGCAGACTGCTGGTTCCTTCCCTCTCAGGCAGAGGCAATCAGACTTTGAAGGAAACACCACTAATTTGTCAAAATTTATAATATGCTTGTCAGGGTCTATTTTTTTTTTCTTACCCAGTTTGGGTCACAAAACCTGGCGGGGAACAGCTAGGATGCAGTGTCTGTGCCTTTTGGCCCATCACATCCAATTTTAGCAAACCCTTAACTGGTCGCTTTTTATTATTATTACGACATGCTTGTTAAGGGGCAGTGCGTTTACCTCTCCCTCCCCCCCTCCTAATATACCTTTGATCGTGAAATCCAAATGGAACAAACAGACAAAATGGGACAAGGTAACCATTAAATTCAAAGATTGCTCAAATTTATAAAAACACTCAGTTTCAACTGGAGCCTCTTTCGCTTAACAGCCTAAATTTCTTACAGTTTTATTCAATCAAGCATTTATCACATTTTTAACAATCCACAAACAAACACTACAAGGTCATCCAAACCATACTACAAGGTTATCCATACCATACATAAATACTACAATGTTGCCTACACAATATATAAACACTACAAGGTCACCCACACCACATATAAACATGGTCAACAAACATACAAAATGGGACAAGATAATAATTAAATTTTGCACATCTCATTCAAAGATAGCTCAAATTTAGAAAACAGACTCACTTTCAACTGGAGTCTCTTTTAATAAACAGCCTCAAATTCTTACAGTTTTATTCAATCAAGCATTTATCACATTTGTACTTTTACTAAAGAGATCGACCTATGTAACCACCTTATGTGATGATCTAATCTGCTTATCTTCTTCTTCCTCGCGTTCACCAGTTGTACAATATGTCGGAAAGTTCTGGTTGCTCGTCCCCTACTGAACTGCAGTCCTGCTCCAGAACCTGAGTGTTGCGTGTTCATCAGTTTTACAGATCTCATTCTCTTGAATACAGACTGTTGGTTCCTTGCCTCTCCGGCAGATGCACTCCGACTTCAAAGGAAGCTCCCAAATGAGTTGACTCTTACGACATGCTTTTGGGGAGGCAGTGAGTCTATTCTTGTTTTCCCCCACTATCGGGCCCTGGAACCCACACGGGGGTAATCTGCTTATGATATACAGGTCAACTTTTTTTTTTGCCCAAAATTTAAGTGTATCTCTAGGATCCTCCATTCTTTAGAAGCTACTTGATGTTTTGCAGGTTTTTTAATTAACATAATTTTTTTTTTGTATGGGTACTGATAAAGGTGTTCTAGCTGCAATATAAATACAGTCATTTATGACTGTGTTATTGTAAAGATGACCGGCTGCACCTGCTGTTTCTGTTGGTTTAACATACTCACTCAATGCATGAACTAAACTGCAGGCGTAGCTTCTGGCTTCAGGAATTTATTTAATAACTACCGCTACAGACACAAGATCAGCTCACCTATATACTTCTCAGATGATATGAGCAAAGAATTTTAAACAAGAACTAAAATATGAAACAAATGATCGGAGATGTGACCACAGGAAACATTAAGAAGAACATTATCACGAATGGCTACAAATGCTGGGCTGAAGTCAATGTGAGAAACTGTGAGATTTGCATGCAAAAGAGTGGAGTAGAGGAATTGAATGCGAGCTCTATTTGACATCTAACAGCATACAAAAGATGATGATACACTTATATCAATACTCCACACTAACTCATATTGTAAGTAGCAATATCAAACAAAGTTTTCCACAGCACAAATAAATACTACAAGGTCTTTCACACAGCACATATAAACACTACAAGGTCACCCATAGTACACTACAAGGTTCTCCACACCACACATAAACACTACAATGCTACCCACACCCCTACAAACATTACAAGGTCACAGATGCCACACTACAAGGTTATCCACACCACACATAAAGACTACTTACCACACCACATGTAAATGCTACACGGTCATTCAAACCACATTTAAACACTACAAGGCCACCCATAGCACACTACACCACACATAAACACTACATTGTTACACACACCCCTACAAACACTACAAGGTCACCCATGCCACACTATAAGGTTATCTATACCACACCATATATAAACACTACAAGGTCATTCACACCACATACAAACACTACAAGGTCTGCCACACCACACATAAACGTTACAAAGTCATCCATACCACACTACAAGGTTATCCACACCTTTTATAAACACAACAATGTTACCAACACAACATTTAAAAAAACTACAAGGTCACCTATACCACATTCAAACACTTCAAGCTCGGCCACATCACATATAAACATTACAAGGTCACCCATACCACACAACAAGGTTATCCACACCACACATAAACACTACAAGGTTTTCCATACCACACAAGGTTATCCACCCCACACATAAACACTATGTTAACCATACCATAGATAAACACTACAAAGTCATCCACACCACATACAAACACTACAAGGTTACCCACACCACATATAAACATTACAAGGTCACCCATACCACCCTACAAGGTTATCCACACCATTCTTAAACACAACACTATTAGCTACACAATATATAAACACAAGGTCACACCTACCACACTAGAAGATTATCCACACTAAATATAAAAACTATGTTACCCACACCATATATAGACACTACAAAGTCATTCACACTACACAGAAACACAAGATTACCCACACCACATACAAACACTACAAGATCACCAACACCATATACAAACACTACAAGAATACCAACACCACATATAAACACTACAAGGTCATCCACACCCCATTCAAACATTACAAAGTCGCCAACACAACAAATAAACATTACAAGGTCACCTATAATACACTACAAAGTTATCCACACTATACATAAACACTACAAGGTCTCCCATACCACACAACAAGGTTATCCACACCACATATAATAAACACTACAAGGTCTCCCATACCATACTACAAGGTTATTCAAACCACATATAAACACTACAAAGTCATCCGCCACACATAAAACACTACAATGTTACCTACACAATATATAAACACTACAAGGTAACCCACACCCCACTGCAAGGTTATTCACACCACACATAACACTACAATGTAACCTACACAAAAAATAAACACCATACTACAAGGTCACTCACACCACATATAAACACTATGTCACCCAAGCCACACTACAAGGCTATCATTACCAAACTGAAAGTAGCAAGATCTCCCACACCACAAATAAACATGAGTTACCTCACACTGTAAGTAGCAATGTCAACTAGATCACACCCACATCACACATAAACACTACAAGACCACACCCACATCACACATAAACACTACAAGACCACACCTACATCACACATAAACATTACAAGACCACACCCACATCACACATAAACACTACAAGACCACACCCACACCACACATAAACACAACAAGACCACACCCACATCACACAAAACACAACAAGACCACACCCACATCACACACAAACACTACAAGACCACACCCGCATCACACACAAACACTACAAGACCACACCCACATCACACACAAAAACTACAAGACCACACCCACATCACAAATAAACACTACAAGACCACACCCACATCACACATAAACACTACCTCATATTGTAACTGGCAGTTCCCAGCTCAGTGCCCAGACCCGACAGGGACCCATCAAAGTCAGCAGCCAGTCCCCCATCGATGTCCCAGGTGCTTATAGAATTTGTGGATGTCTGAGGCATTGGTGTTGAATGGTACATCTTGGACCGCTTCCCTGCACCAGCTCCAGTGTCATCAGACCATGTGTAACTGTGATGTACACTAGGAAGTGTGCAAGAAACCAGCAATGTTTTACTAAAATGACAGACAGAAATGAGAAGCAATTACACAATTCATAATTTGTTTAAATCACCCACTAATTGCTGGCATCATGAAAGGTAATAGACTGCATATAGAGAGAACGGGAGATAACAGAGAGACAAAAACTACACAAAAGAGCTGAATGAGATTAGGCAGACCAAGGAAGACCTACACACACTTCAAGTCACTAGCTGAAAAGAGCACACTCGTGAGAGTGTCGCCCATTGGCTCGCTGTTAGATGACTTTGTCGCAGGTCGGGATAGTATTTGGGTCTGTCTTCTTCATTTGCATCAACACTTTTTCAGGACTCTTGGTGGCGTGTAATGCTAAGCCATTTTGTATGGTGCATATAACCTAGTCACAATCATAATCTAAAGCTCCCATTTCAGGGATGCTGACTGAACGTGACAATTTTTTTTTTTTCTCCAGCAAAGAACCTACCTACCCAACTTGAAAGGGAAAGAAATTCACAGAAATGGAAGCGGATGACATCTGCTGCAATGAACCCCAAGAACTTGGAATGCTGAAGAAAATGAAGACAGATATAAAAAGACACAAGCAATCACATGTACGGATACAGTAGAGCCCGACCTTGACAACTATCCAAATGTAATTATGTAAACAGAGGATATCCTTAGGGACTCTCCCTCCTCCAAGTGTGCCCTGACTATTTTAGCCTCTGAAGACTGTCAATGAGAAAACTGTTATGATACTGTTCTGTTTATGATAACAGGTTTCAACAGCTGTCCGTGACTGGATAACCAGACCCTAAATTCACCAACGTTCATTTCCAAAGAGATTGTTGGCACCCAGGCCTTTTTCCCTGACAGTATGCAATACCATGCAGTACCTGTACTTTTTTTAGGCACCATCTCCCCCCCCCCCCCCCCCCCCCCCCCCCCCCCCCCCCCCCCCCCCCCCCCCCCCCCCGGCACTAGTGTAATAGATACTTTGCTGTGCATACTGGCACATTCGATCAGACTCTCTGTGATGAGTACTGGCACCTTTTTTATCTCCAGAAAAAGAAGGGGCCTGCTGGTACTCAACTGTAAGACTGCCTCCGCTGCTTCTATTCACCACTTTTAGCGCAATGCAGGATAGAGGAGTGGTTAGGATATGCAGGCTGGGATTTTTATTTGTTGCTCCAACAGAAAAACTCCGTCCCATATTGCAGCCCAGTGCCTAACAACTTGACTGGCTACTTCAAATGGTGAAAAACACTGGTTAGGAAAATAAAAATTCTACCAAAATGTAGAGTTAAACTGCAGATCCCACTAATGTTGAGAGCATATGCAAATATATCTTTTATTCACTATCTCACATTATTTACCAGGGAAAACTAACCCATGTTGCATCAATTATTTATCATTATAAGAGGGAGGCAAGAAGGAAATAGGTTCAGTGTTAACTAGAAGGAAATGGGCTCAGTGTTAACTGTGTCAACGATCGTTACAATCCATAATTTTCGAAAAAGACAAGAGTAACCTGTGACTGTACTTAGTGGACTGGTAGCTCAAGACAAACTTACAAACACCTTAGGTGGCGCTATTTATTATAAATCATTACATCTACATATACATACAAATGTATGAAACTAACAAAATTCACTGAGTGTACTGATAATCACATACTAGACTAATAAATAAAACAACTTAATTATTATTGTTCAACCACTGATGCCAAAGCTAATAAACAGCTCCATGTGTTGTGTGCTATGTTTCTGAAGCTACCTTATTTACAATTTCAAGTAGTTTTCAGTGTCAAAATATTATGCCAGTTGATACTGAATTCGTCTGCAATCACATTTATAATATGGCTACCTCAGCTACCTGATTCCAGTAATTTAATTAGATCGGTTTGTGGTTGGTCACCGCCTGTGACACTCACGTTTCTCATTACATTTTCAGTAACACAGGACGTCAGGAACAGGCATTTCCTGTAACTAGCGAAGGAGGCTAATGTAACAAACAAAACCCATTTTGAAGATTTTAGTTATTCTAGAGACGGGCAATCTGTGCCAAAGCTCATAGTTTAATTAATCCGATGCAGGGCCCGGAATTCTAATCGCAAGAATATTAAGTTACTTATTTACTACTACAGTACAGCGTCCGTCAGTCTGCGTTTTGTTTGGGCGTCAATACTTAGTAGTAAAAACGCTTATGACCCTAATCCCCGGGCACGCGTTAAAAACCGACGAAATACTGCAACAATAACCTTCTTTGGTACATTTTATGAATCTAAAACACATTTTACCTATCCGACGTGTGTAGCATTCTCCGGAGATGCTCCTTGCTCCAACAAAATCAGGACCTAGTCTGCAGAGAAAAAAACATCAACACTGGCAAATGGCGGTGGTGACCAGGAGCAGACGTGAGGAAGTCCGTATCGATACATCTAAGGGAGGTCACAAATAGATCTTGCAACTTTACTTGAAAAAGTTATCCACTGGAATATTTTAGAATAACAAACTTTCAGAATTTCTATCGCAAACCGTTTTATTAATTGTTGCATGTCGGGTTGATGAATAATACAGAATGCTTCATAAATAAAACGCAAAATGCTTTTAGAAAATGCGTCGTGAATTCGATTGCTGGGAAAATGACATTAACCTTTTTGGCTATCTGCACGGTCACGGAAAAATGTTTATTGTTGTTTATTGTTGAATTAGCAATCGACATCATAGCACTCGAGTCACCCCCATGAGCTCTCCGTCCCTAGCAGCAAACGAAGAGTTCCAATTCCGATGGCACCAGTAACTGATTGTATATACGTCTCGCCCTTCCCCTGAGTGTTGAGCGTCGGTCAGATCCCCTAGTAACTCCTCGCAGAGCCATTATCCTCAGACCGTAATGATCTATTTGCGCTTCCGCACTGTTCACTCGCTCCTAGAGGGCTCTCACAACGTCTAGCTTGTCATACATCGATTCACCACCAAGTGGTGCAGAGTCGGCCAATCTATCTGCCTGCTCATTTTCCGACACATCGGTGTGACCTGGAGAGAATATCTAAAGGATACTAACTACCCGGGATCTCTGAAGTGATGCTTGCCACTGTGCACGGAGAAAGACTAGTCTCCAGCTTTCTCAGCATGTCCTGTTAGTCAGTGACAATCATGGCATGTGTATATAGCTGATTCTCAAGCAGCGGAAGGCAGCAATAATTGCCTCCACCTCCATTCTCAAACCAAATGTTGTGATATCATATGCCAGGCGTTGTTGCACTAAGCGACGTCCATTCGCCTTTACTATAAACCCCATGCACTTCGTCTGATCCTCAACACAGAGCCGTCTATATGGATAATCACATCACTTGGGTGGGAATTGTCATGAATCATTTGTTGAACTTCTGATTCTGCGCCAGCTGGCCCTGCACTCACGACTATAAAGTGATAAGAACCGTGTACAAGTTAAAACTTGCTCGGACACTTTGACACTCCCCACCTCACACATATTAATAAAGCTTGCACACATGTCTGTGTCTTCAGCTTAGCCATCCAAGACCTTCCTCTTTTCAGTCAGTGACCCTTAGATCTACACAGGGCTTCACAAAAGAGGTGATTCTTGTCTGCAGCTGCTCTGAAATATGACTTTGCTTGCAGAACTTTGAGCCTATCTGCAATAGTAGTCAGTGCAAGTATATATCGCATACATGCTACCGGGGTATCTCTTGTACATCCCAGAATTACCTGCTCGGCTTCATTCTGTATGCGTTCAAGTTTCATCAGCTGACTCTTTGAAATGGTAAGCATGCCAAGTCCATAATATATCCCCGACAGGATCACATGCTGGAACATTGTGAACAGCATTCTTTGTTCCATGTCCATTGCTGCCATAATCTTGAGAGCATTGTGTCCTTTTTGGCATTTCACCACAACTGTCTCCACGTGATCCCTAAAGGACAGGCTTCTATCGAAAGTGATACCCAGGTACCTCAGTTTGCTTTCTCTTTTGATGTTATTATTAATTGTGAGGCTCGAATTTTTCAATAATGAAATATTATATATTTGTTTGAACAGTTTGAAGGCTTTTATTGTGTTCTAATTTAGACGAAAGATTCAGTCTTATTATAAAGAAAACAAATTATCTTCTTCTTCCGGCAGTAAAATCTGGCAGAAAGTTATCCCTGTTCATCCACTTTTGGACTTAAGTTTTTTTCCAGAACTGGGTGTTGCGTTTACGTCCGTTTTACAGATCTGTCTTATGTGTATGCAGACTGTTGGTTCCTCGTCTCTCATGCAGATGCACTTTGACTTTAAAAAAAAAACCATCCCGAATAAGTTCATTCTTATGACATACTCATGAGGCGCAGTTAGGCTACCCTTTTCGATTTCCAACTGCCAAGGATTTTTTTACGTGCGCAACAATACACACGGGCGTCCGATCTTACTACCCGGAGACCAGGGGAAATTACTAGAAGTCCACGTGAAAAAAATCCCAGCCTTCACCGGGGCTTGAACCTGGGACCTCCATAACTCGAGGCGGACGCCATGTCTCGAAATAACGCAGCCGTCTTTTATTCTGGCGGTACGCACGGGTACGCAGGACTAACACCTTATTAGGCCTATTTATTTTTTATTTTAGAACATCATGGTGAGTCCCGGCACCCTTTTTCTAGGGGAAAAAAGCCCAGATCATAAGTAGTGTTTAGTAGTGACTAGTGTGTGTTTTTTTTTTTTTTTTCACTTAACAAATAAAAAGAAAATTACTTTAATTAATTTGTTAAAAGATACACTTAAAATACTTTGGCCACGTTAAAAGAAATAACAGGCTTTGAAAAACCATACTGAAGGGAAAGATCGAAGACAAGAGAGCAAGAGGTGGGCAACGATCCAAGTGGGAAGACGACATCAAGTAATAGACAGCCAGCAGTCTGAGAGAGTATACAACCAAGACAAGAAACAGGGAGTTTTGGAGATCCATTAAAGCCAGCTTTCACTGCGGAGACGGCACCTTATTGATGTTATGTGTTTAAACCCCACCCCCCCCCCCCTTTTTTTTTTCCACTCCCTCAACATATTAACCAGAATCTTCTTGGGTCAGAATTGTTAACTATTTTTCATAACCCAAAATTCTTAATTAGTTGGCCATATTGTCATATGCCTTGAGTCCCTATCCCAGGCTATATTTAAAATATTCATATGGGCTCCTGTGTCAATCGGGAGCCGCCGTGGCCTAGCGGCTTGACGCTTGCCTGCGGACCGGAAGGTCCTGGGTTCGATTCCTGACGGAATCCTGACATTTTTTTTCAAGCCCCACAGCTGGGATCAAACACATCACCCAGACGCCGACTTAGACCCATATATATAGAAGGGTAAAGAATGCCCATGGCATCTTTAAGAAGCTTCCCCTAAAGATAAAATCAAGGAGACTAATCAATGATTGCACAGTTAGGAAGGAAACAATATATCCACAATGTTAATGGCACAGCGTTAGTAAGATTGCCTAATTATTCATAGAACAATTTAATCATTGTTACATCCAAACTCAAAGCAAAATGCTAAACTATACAAATTACATTTTAGTCATGTGAATAATTACAAGATGTATAAATTTAAAATAACAAATGTATAGTATGAAAACTCAGTGAACACTATATATCCAAATTATAAACCTAAGGGCTTTAATGATATTATTGAAAAATTACTACTACTGCAGGCATAAGAAGCAAAGTATATGCCCATAGTGAATGTGACTAGCAAGACCCGCTCGCATTAAGAAAAGTCTGTCTATATCAGAACATGGGATTTCAGACCATTGTTTATTTAACTTGCATCTGCATTCACTTGCAAATAAATTGACAAAGTTTCACTACCACGTCAATACAGGTGCTTGAAGTCAGCGGCACAGGAGCGGAGCATCTGTGGGGTGACCCGTTTGCTATGAAGCTGAAACTAGGATTACAGGATTACCAGATTACCAGTCAGAAATATTGACACCCACGGACTCAAAGTCACCGGAAACTCTGGTCATCCGTAAAAACAGTTATACTGGGGCACCTTACGGTTATAACTGAATCTGCCTAATATGTCTCAAGGGATGGAAATGAGTGGTTTACTTACTTACTTACTCTAACTATGGGTTGGTTGCACACACGACGCAACCGGGATCTCTAGCACCTTAAGACACCCTCGAATATTAGAAAGGACCCTCCACACACACACAAATTACGAAGTAATGAGGGAATCCGAGCAGTTATGGACTGAATGGTTTGATGTGCAATGAGAATAATCTGTCGACTAACTCCCTAACCCAGATAGTTTGAACAGGATATCGTTGTTTAAGCTACTACTGCCACCACCGTCACCACCAGCTCCCTTATAACTTTATAGGAGTGAGGCCTTATTCCTGGCTTAAAGACTTATTCATAAAGATAATTATTGTGTGACGAATGGCATCAAAACAATAATAAAACTTAAAAAAAATATAAACTTTATAAAAATACTAAACAAAAGAATGTATATACGTAATTACGGGGACCACTTAGCCACCCCACCCGCCCTACAAATGTCATATATATATATATATATATATATATATATATATATATATATATATATATATATATATATATATATATATATATGTGAGCCCCTCCCCCCGCCCCCAAATATTTTCTTAGGCCCCACTCATTGCGTGAGATCCCAGGTTTTGGCGTCCCTGACTACTACTACTACTACTACTACTACTACTACTACTACTACTACTACTACTACTACTACTACTGTTACTACTACTACTAGATTCCTTCATATTAATTAGGTTTTATAAATTTGGCTTGCAATTTCCTGCCAGCCTCAGGTACAGGTATCGCCAACAACGATACTTCGCCAGGTCACGGGTTGATCGGCAAAAACAGCTGATGGGGCTCTCTTAGGGATTCGCTTCTCTTCCTAATAATGTAAATGACAATTTCTACGTCAGCGACGCATCGGGTAGATGACGCTAGACATATTCTTTATAGACCAGTCAGTGGGTGATGTAGTCAATACCACCCATAACATCTTTACTTACTAGAGCATTGCCTCGTACGAATTTTAGGCGGGTTTATCTGGGAGCCAAAAGTGACCTTGACTCCCAGGTCGACCCAGCCTTGAGTGGGTAACAGGCGGCCGGCGTGATGCCTACTACATCATACAGCAAGTGCCAATTGAGCTATACAAATATAGGTCTAGCCCTGTATTACCAATACGCCTAAAGTCGTGGAAAAGGGACCTTTTTACCTTTTTTTAAAAAAAATATGGGAGCTAAGTTGTTTTTTTAAATCCGCCCATGGAACCTACATTTTTAGGACAAGTCGGCACATGGTGAGTGATGTGAACAACAATACGCCGGCAGCATTCACTTCCCATGATCTTCCCAGTAAAATCGGATGCCCGCGCAAATCTCAGGTCCTGGAATACAGCCAAAGTCCAGAAATGGACGAAAAACCAGGTCTTTCCACCGGCGTCTACAGCCAGTAAACGCAAACAGCAACTTCCCATGACTGTTGCTTGACGCCCATTTGAGTCTGGGTCGACTTGGGAGCCAAAGTCAATTTCATTAGCAGTTGTAGAAACGAAAAAATAGTAGGCACTATCATCGCCTCTGGAACTTAGTGGTTCAGACCCCACCCAAAACAAATTGTTATTCAAGGGGAACTCGGCCTCCTCCTACCCCCATATTTCCAACTTTGTAAACACACTAAGCGGGCCCTTTTATCCGTATTTCTCTTTAGAATGAATTTGTTTGTAAATTTAATGTTATTATTATTATTATTCGCCATTCAGCACATTATTATTATTATTATTTGCCATTCAGCACATTATTATTATTATTAATTATTTTTACTACGGTACATACTTTTAAAAACTAATTAAGCCCTTTGACCGCGGTGTCGCTTCATCCCCCAAATACTTTCTCAGGGTCGATGCCGCAATTACAACTTAAAATTAACTTTTCCTAAACTCCATTTCAAATTTGTGACATGCCTAAAACATAATTTGGTAAGAAAATGTCCCGTTTTCTAGATGACTTTCACGACCGTGTTTGGTGACCTCTGCCTTTGATAGTTATTTCCGGTTGCCACAGCAATCGAGGGCTCTGTTTGTCCAGGTGCGAGGTTGGGAGACCCACAATCAGGGGCGTCGACCCACACATACAAACACTGGGGAGAAGGCTTCAGTTTCCCCCTTTCTGACCCCCATAATTTTCTAGTTGTGGAGAGCTCAAGGTGCTTAAACATTTTTTTTCAAGTGCGCATTATTATTATTGTTTTTATTATTATTGTGCCTTTTTATTGTGCTAAATGACAAATAGATACGAAATGTATATTTGTGTGTGTGAAAAAACGATAATAAATAAGTTTAAAAAAAAATTAAAATAAGAGCGCTTTTGTATGGATAGGAAAAGAGAGAGAGAGAGAGAGAGAGAGAGAGAGAGAGAGAGAGAGAGAGAGAGAGAGAGAGAGAGCCGAAATGTAATTTCTTTTATCATCATTCAAATCATCTTCCTATATATTATTTTTTTTTAAACTTGGTTCTTCAATAAAGATTCTGCGAAAAAAAACCCAGCTATTACCACCATCACCACTCATTATACTATTCTATATATTTGTTCATGTATTTCTACACATATCTCAAACACAAGCAAACTGTAACACCTTGTAAAAACACAAAGAAAAGAGAAGAAAGACATGTATTGCACCATGTGTACACACACACACACACACACACACACACACACACACACACACGCACACGCGCACGCGCACACACACACACACACACACACACACACACACACACACACACACACACACACATATATATATATATATATATATATATATATATATATATATATATATATATATATATATATACACTTACTACAATTGCAAATTTTCTAGGGAGTAGGTAGGTAGTTGTACCCCACCAAGACATTACAGAATCGATAAACACCCGGTGACACAAAGTGCCGGCATGCAGATGAGGATCACCCATGGAGAGGTCCCAGAAACCCTTTTCAGCCGTTAGGCCATATCTATGCCCCGGCTATATTCAGGGCTGCCGACAGAAGCCAGGGAGGATTAGGGTACATAATCCCCATTTATCATCGCCCCTGCCCAACATTCTATACCAGTCAATCTCCATTCAAATACAATGAATCAACTTCCGCTACAAAAATTATGTCGTGGTTACAAAGACTCCACTGTCCATTTATGTACACAATTTTATTTCATAATCTAATAATTTAACTTTCATCTTGCACGAGTATAGTAATGGCATTGTTTATCACTGGTTTAAGTTTTGATAACATAATTATCACGATAATTTAAAAGGTACACTTGAAATATTTTTAACATTAATATCTATACTTATATATTCTGTTATAATTAACACATAACGTAATAAAAAAAAAAAAAAAAAGTAATTAGTAAGCATAAACATGCAACGTTAAAAAAAAATGGTATCCCAATAATTACCCAGACGAGCTGAAGATGATATCGTTGTTTAAATTACTACTGCTAATTGTATCCAATTTCGTCCTTTTTAGGGCGAAATTTTTTGTCATTTGAAGCTCTACTCTGGCTTTTGACAGGGGCCGCAATATAGGCAGGCCATACATATGGCCAAATGTCTGAACGAGGTTTCTGGGACCTCTCCACGGCGATCCTCATCCGCATGGTGGCACTTTCTGTCATCGGGTGTTTGTCGCTTGTGTGATGTCCTGGTGGGGTAGAAAGTCAGTCAGTCACTACTGCTAATAATACTTATTGCGTTCCATTTCGGTTATTTACACATTACCTAATCTGACAATTTGAGGTTTTTTTTTTTGTGTGTGTACAGAAATATTGTAGCAACATCGTACTGATACGTTTCTTCTTCTTTTTCTTTGCTCGTAAAAAAAAAAAGCAGGTGGCACTTTGTGTTGTGGTTAACAGCTAGGCTGTGATATCTGCACCTTCAGCCCAACACATCCAGTTTCAGCACATCCCAAATAAGTTGTCGTTTAAGATACACTTGTTAAGGAGCCGCACGTTTCTAACCCCCCTCCCCCATTTTTTTCCAATGGGGCGACGGAACCCACACGGGGAGCACTTTTTTTGGGGAGGGGGGGGGGGAGGGAGGGGGAGATAAATGATAAGTTTTGATAAATTGTGAGGTTCTGTCTGGGATTCTTTCCCTCTTAGAACAAGGGAGGCTAATCCAAACTCAGTTTGAAACTAACAACAATCGCGATCTTTCGTTGCCCTTCTAACCAAGTTGCATAAGCGTGCAGTGTGCTATTTTATAGCAAAATCATTTGTTTTTTCAATCAGTTGTGTAGTCTTCTGTTTAAAGTTGCTGATTGTAGCTGTATGATATTGATCTTATTTGATCTCTTTAAATTACTGATTTGGTTGAATATTAGTTAGTATAGTACCACTAGAGAGTGTAGCAGTTTATAAACGGACACCTAGTAACTAGTTCAGTAGCTGGCCAGTTTAGAACTTCCTTTCGTCTTTAGTTCGAGTTAATAAAATAAGTATTAAGGAAATACGTAATAATAAGACAGATTGCCAATAACAGGCAGTGAGTTCTTACATAGTAACCCATCATATAGCTATAGGGTCTTCGATTTACGACTTCTGCAGAGTGTCTAGTGACTAGTCCGTGACGAAGCTGCTGCTGTTGCACTGTTGCTTTTTTAAATTTAAACTTTTCGATAATGCCAATACGCGCACTTCTAAGGTAAAGGAAAAGGTGTTCTAACATGTTGAATTAACAATAGTTTACTGATGATTAATAGTTAATTATCAATTAAGTATATTTCCTGCAGTTGGTTCCAGGGCCCCATTGGGGGGGGGGGGAGGGGGATAGACCCACTGCTCGCATAGAAGGCTGCTAATTGCTGAAATTAGATATGTTAGTGTGAAAGGCGCAGATATCACTGTCTAGCTGTAAACCACAACAGAGTGTGCTAACCACCCTTTTAAGAGCGAATACAATAGGAGAGTCGTAGACTCTTACTCAGTCTTGGAAGAAACAAAAATTAGAGCTTTAAAACTGAAATGCTACAGGAAGATTCTTAGAATACAGTGGACCAAGAAAAATAAAAATCAGCATCCCACGTGATGTAATCTTCGAAGAAAATAGGCTAATAAACAGCATCCTCTTCTTAAAGCTGGGGTATTTTGACCATATTAACTCTTTTTAGTCCCAAGGAACGTCTCAAACTTTCATAGATTCATACCTAGAAGCCCAATGAACGCAAGACGAACCGATTTTACATCTTTCTTGACTACCCCTTTTTCCTGTGATTCATAACCCCCTGGGACTCAAAGAGTTAACAGACATGGTGGCCTGGAGAGGACAGTGATGGAAGGTGTAGTTTCCGGAAGACAAAGCAGAGGTTGACCTCTGTGAAGATTGATACTTGAGATTATCTCTTTGAGTCCAAAGGAACGCATCATGCGTTTATAGGTTACTGCCTAGAAGCCCAATGAACGCATGATGCGCCGATTTTACGTCTCTCTTGACTACCCCTTGGGCCTGTGATGCTAAACCCTCTGGGACTCAAAGAGTTAAAGACGCATTGGATGCTAAAGTATATAGGGCTGAAAAAAGAGAGGCTTTCAGGGGTGCCTTGAAGAGAGCAATGTTCTGTAAAGGACATGCTGTTTGACGATGATGATGATGACGGAGAAGAATGTGGCTGACTATTATTCAGCAACATTACTGTAACGTCATCTTCTCCTAATGTATAAGTATTTATTTACACGTATAAGTTAATAGATTAAACTAAGAATTAAGTGACATGACAATTGTTTGATGGTATGACCTTTATCACCAGGGCAGATAAAGCTCGTCAAGTGGGAACAGCAGTCTATCAAAGGAAGTACATCCTAACAGAAAAGCATGCTAAAGTCAGAGTTGCCAGACCGAAAGGTGCGGATAGACATGAAAAGTGCCCCACTGAACCTAAAGACTATGGCACCACGCAGATTCCACATGTTTAAATGTTACAAAATCAAAATTATTAAAAATATCCTACCATAGCTAACATATATGACAATTAGGCAGGCCACAAAAACAGTGGAGAGATAATATATCAAACCTGCAAACACATGGAGTCACCATTGGAAAGAGAAGGCAAATCACAGATGAATGGAGCTGGGTAGTATCTGCAGCAATGAGCCTCAAGGGCTTGGAATGCTGAGAAAGGAGGAGGAGAAGTACAAAGATAACAGGTGAAATTAAAATTGCCAGTGACACAAATAACATTATTGAATGCATTATCATGCAGCAGTGCTTCCAGCAAACATATCATCAGTACTGAATGATCATACCAGTAGTAAAAGAAACTTTATTGGTATTGCATGTTTATTGATCCTGTGTTGTGTAATCATTTTCAGGTACCTTTTGAACAATGAACAGCTCATTCAGAAGGTATGTTGTAATTGATGCGGCATAAACAGTTTAGTTTCTGGGCTGTTTCTTCCAAAGGGTTTCTGAGTCAAAAGTGTTAATTCGCTTTTTTAAATCTACGGTAGATTTTATTTCGTAATGATTTTAAAATAGCAGGTTATTTCTGTCTACTCAGATTTATGAGGTATGCATTTTCTGTGCACAGTTCATGCTTTGCTTCAGAGGTCCTGGATAGTTTGTTTATTTTGTCGAGTATTTTTGTATTTGGAAACAAAAGAGCAGATAGACTGGCTGATTCTGTACCAGTTCTGAAACAAAATGAGTTCTGGAACAAATCAGAAGTCTAGAAATGGGTGAAAGCATGAACATTCCACCAGGGATTACAGCCCGTGAACGCTAAGAACACACTGGCAACTATGAACCTCCGTGTACTACAGTGAATAGGCATAAAATGCAATGATAAGGATATGTAATGTAGGTGTCTGTGGCTTAGGCATTGCGAATGCGCTTCATAATGCCGAGTTTGATCCCGGCTGCGGATGATTTTCTTGCATTGCTTTCAAGAGGTACTGATAGCTGACCAAGCAGAAAGCAGTGGCAAACTACTAAACATAAAATTTGCCTAGAACCACAACAGCAACACAGAAAAAAAGATCCAGTAAAAAATATGCTGCTACCTAATGGCCATGTAACAAGATCTAACAGCCTCTCAGAAAAGTACTTCAGGGCTCAGAGAGGAGAAAATGCAGACCAAGAAAGACTTGGATACATAACTTGACTGATTGGACAGGCCTTAGGCATGTAGCCATGTAGTCCACTGTATCTGATCGACAAAGGTTGAGGGAGCTAATCAGTCAGTCAGCAGCAGCTGGTGATCCAACATCACAATGTGTTATGGGATGATGATGATGAACTCTGAGAACAAGAAGATGTATACTATACAGTTATATGTATACTTTATTTGATTGCATTAATTATATGTTAAGGTTTGTATTCTGATTAACACTTGATGTAAACTTATCCAGATCGCAGACAGCTACCCTATCAGACGAGCAGCCCAACTGACTGCTTATTTTATTCACAAAGGAAAAGAAATTGGTAGGTAATTGTATTACTGATTGTATCATTGTGTGCAACCATGTGTTTTATCAGGGACTGTCAGCAAAAACAAAGAAATGCTAAAACTACCCTGCGTGTCATAAGGAAAATTGACACACACTGGGCTGCCTCCTTCCCTAGAGCAGTGTTCCTCAACATTGTTACGCCCGCTAACAGCTAAAACAACAGAAATTGTTTTGCAGCCCACCTGACAGCTAACAAAACAAGCAACAAAAACAATTGTAGATAGCAGTTTATTTATTAAATCTGATGTCACAAAATTACAGTTTACAGCTGATGCCACATCTGCTGATGCACACAGGTTAAAAATCTGATGTATGTAGCTGGAGAGTTGTTTTTGATATATGTAGCACTGCAGTAACATCAGTTTGGTTTCTCTATTTGCTTATTATTGACATGCAGGCAAAAGTCTTTACACACAAAACAGGGAGTCCTTGAGGTGTCACTCCTATAGACTAGAAGAGAACAACCATCTGCCCTACGTGTTACATGATAAGGCAGAATTTTGTTTAGGTGGCCTGCGGCTTGAAGAACACTGCCGTAGAATGCTGTAGCCTGCAGAATCCAGCCAACCAAGGAATGAGTCCCTATGGCTTAGTGGTCACGCCGTTTGCTTTGCGTTCTGAAGGTAGTGGGTTTGTTTCATGGCCTAGGTCCTTCTGTTCATGGTTGAATATTTAGGGTGATTCCTGAAGGTTGTTATTGAAGCTACAGGGTTTGTGCTTTGTGCAAAACTGGCCAGCAACTAGCCATTTCTGCAGAGAGGTGAGCAATTACATGAGGTTATGATTATAGTGATACAAAGATCTCAGCTAAATATCACTGCCTATTTTCATCTTTCTTTTTTGTTATATAACTTTTTCTGTTCTCCACTTGTCATCTCTGCCCTTTTTCATTCTTGTTTTAAGTGAGATAAATAATTGTGATGGGGTTTACAGCGTGATATCTGCGCCTTTTAGATCAGTGCATCTGATTTCAGCAGACTCTTAGTTAGTCATCTTTGACGACTTCCTTGTTAGGGAATAGTGGGTCTGTTCTCCCCCCCCCCTTTTTTTTTTCCCCCATGGGATCCTAGTACCCACACAGGGAAGAAAAAAAAAAGAAAAAAGCAAAGAATACTGTGCCAGCATGTTGCTGCATTACCACAATTTTTTTAAATATTAAAATTGTTGCTTTTAATAATTGCAGGTGAGGAAAAAGTTGAAAAGATAAAAGAGTCCGATGTTATTAACCGTCTGCAGAATGAAGCTTTGAACTCCGCATCAAAACTTCAGGGCAAAGCCAGTTCAACCTTAGAAAAGACAAACAGATTTGTAAATACTTTTTCAGAAGCACTGAAACAAGAATGGAAGAAGGCAGAGATGAAAATTGAAGAACAGAAGAAATTAGAAGGGAAAAAGAAAGATCAAAGATAGGCAGTGATGTTTTTGTTGAGATCTGTATATCACTGTCATCAGAATTGAGTGCCTTGTCCACAGACATGGGCGATAATGCCTCTCCCAAGATCCAGTTCTTAGTACTACAAATCAATTCATATGCTGATATCTTTCCGATACAGGATTGTTTGGTATCTCATTTATCCACTGTCCCTCAACAAACACATTTTTTTAACAGGACATTCGATTGTTGTCATCACATGATGCAGCAGATTTAGTCTATTTCATTTTCTGTGTTCATCATTTTAAAATATTTACATTGCCCTTTTTTAAAAAGTTTTAATAGTTTTTTTAGCACTAAAATGAGAAATTAAGAGATTTAAGAAACGAGGATGTCAGAGAGAAACCCTTAAAGAGTTGAGTGGATAAATTAGGTGCGCTTCATTGCATCCTCCTTTTCAAGACAAGAAACTGGTCCTCGCGGCATGCATAGATTTAAGGAAAGCTTTTAACAAGATTTGGAAGGAGGTGCTTTTGAAGAAATTGAGAAACTACAAAGTAAATGGAAGAATGTACAATTGGATTAAAGCATATCTACATAACAGAAGAGCCCGGGTACAGGTAGATGGTTTCAAAAGTAAAAAAGTTCTACTGCGACATGGCATCCCTCAAGGTGGTGTCCTGTCGCGCACACTTTTCCTCTTATTCATCAACGACCTGGTTGCTGAAATACCAAATGGAATCAAAATGGCAATGTATGCCGATGACCTGGTACTGTGGTGCACCGATGAACATGCAACAATAGCCCCAAGAACACTACAGCGGGCTACATATGCACTTGAGGCATGGTCAAATAGATGGTGTGTCAGCATCAATACAGACAAATGTAGCACCACACTCTTAACTCTTTCCCCAAAGCAAAAAGCGGGCATCATCAAAATAAACGGAATACCCCTAAGAGATGATAAAGAGCCCACGTACCTCGGAATCACATTTTATGACAGGTTGACATGGAGAAAACATATCAACAAGGCAGCAACCAAAGCCAGGAGGAAGACAGCTATACTAAGAAAACTAAGTGGAACCACATGGGGAGCCAGTGGGAAAATACTCTATAAAGTAGTACAATAAAGTAATACAAGCAGAGCATACTTCCACACTTGGAATATGGGTCAACTGCATGGTGTTCAGCATCTAGTACCACATTAAAGGAGTTGGACAAAGTGCAAAATCAAGCACTCAGAGTCATCACAGGAGGGATGAAATCAACCCCCATATTAGAAAAGGAGAAAGCTGGGAAAACACAGGCACTAAGAGAACGCAGAGATACAATGTTGCAAATACAAGCTGAAAAGTTCCTCAGTATGCCAGATCACCCCATGAAAAATAGATTTCAGAACCTAGTCTTGGGATGGTTAAAAAGAAGCAGCTTTATACATCAAGCAAAAAGAATATGTAGACAAACTCCTGACCTTCCAGAAATTGGTTGTCCACTTAACAGTATTCCAGAACAAACCCCATGGAGAGAGAAATGCAAACTAACGGTACAAATCCAGACAAATGTGAAAGGAATATTTGACAAGAAAGAACAAGATAGTGTACAATGCAGAATGGCCACCCTCAGCTATACTGATGAAAAATACCCACAAGAACAATGGGTCAGAGTCTGTACAGATGGGTCCGCAGAAAGTGCAGTTAGAAATGGTGGTGCTGAAGTGTACATAGAATACCCAGATGGTACTTGTGATAAGTCCAGGGTACCAACCGGAAAGTACTGCCATAACTATGATGCAGAAACTCAGGCTATCAAGATAGCAACAGAGAAACTGCTAAATACCAATCTTGCCTCCCAGTATGTAATAATGCTAACAGATGCAAAATCGGTACTTGAAGCACTCTAGTCTAGGAAACTACCAAAATTGCAAACACTGCTGACACAACTTAGCCTTCAGCAAAGAGTTGTAATGCAGTGGATACCATAACATTGTGGAGTGCCTGGAAATGAGAAAGCTGATCAACTGGCAGGAGAAGGTGCGACAAAAGTGCAGCTGGATGTACCAGTTACATACCACCAAAAGAAAAGAATCATTAAATCAATCAGGAAACCACCAGCCCCAGCACAAGACGACTATTTTATTTTGGACAGATCAGAACAAGTTATTATCCTCCGAACAGGGCACAACCGATTACGTAACCACATGTACACAAAATTCGGCTCTCCTTTAATAATGGTCGCTAGCTGGAAAGCCGACGGTCGCTTAGTCGGAGTGCGCTCCCTTGGCTGCATTGTAAATACGGAGTGTAAAGAGGGAACGAAACAAATGACATACTTACCTGTCATCATACGGTTGCGTAGGGTGTGGGTTAGGGGTAGGGTTAGGGTTAGAAGTGACAATTTTGACGCAGGAGTTCCAAATACTGGCCGATAATCTGATGCTTGTGGGAGTGGCGCCACTGGAATTCTCCTAGATATGACGGCAATAGCGCGCAGCTGGTGCCAAATTGATGGCGAATTGTCCGTTTGAGTAGCATCTACAGTCCTTCAATTGTTTGGGTGTGTATGTCACTGTGCGCGATTTTTTGGAACTCCTGCATCAAAATTTTCACAACTAACCCTAACCCTACCCCTAACCCTAACCCTAACCCTAACCACGCAAACTTATCTGTCATTAAGGCATACAGATCTGCAGGAGTCACATCCGTGGCAACTAAGTCATGCGTCGCAAGAATGTGGTTTGCTAATGTGAGTCGGAGCTCGATGTCTTAACTGCCATGTTGACCTTGTTTTTGATTCGTGACTTTTCCACTCCGTATTTGCAATGCAGCCAAGGGAGCGGACTCCGACTAAGCGACCGTCAGCTTTCCAGCTAGCGACGTTATTTAAAGGAGAGCCCAAAATTCAAGATAGGCGTATCAGCCATATGCACCTGTGGAAAGGTGCCCCAGACAGCAGAGCATGTACTCCAGGACTGCACCAAATTTGTCACATTGAGGCAAACCTTTTGGCCAAAAAGAACAACAGTGGAACGTAAACTCTATGGACCACTGAATGAATTAACAACAACAGTGAAATTTATACAAGAGACAAAATTGCTGATATAGACAACTTATTTCAGGCGAACGAAAGAAGAAGAAGATTGCATCCTCAAAAGAAACCCTAAATCGGATGTTGATGAGAGAAGGTGCTGGACGGGATTCCATCTGTGATATTGAATTGATTGCATTGGACGGAACAGAATGGAAGAATAGACAGCCAGTGTTTAACATAAAATAGCACAATAGGAGAATGATGATTGCTTCTGTAGTATTTTTTCACCTGTGCCAGGTCACACAGTATTGTCCATGGACTGAAGAAATTTTAGTTAAAAAAAAATCTTTTCTATCTGTTCTTAAATTCATTACGTGTTTGAAGAAGGTGGTCTCAGTTTAATAGCTGTGTGAAAAGTACTGTTTGTGTTCCGACTCATGCAAAATTGCCTGAACAATGAAAATTTTAATCAGTCTTAATTTTACCTAATGCTGTCTATCATACTACAAACTTTATATAGATTTGTGTGTGTGTGTGCTGCTTTGGTCATTTCAGAATAGTTGTTAGAATGACAGGGTGCCGGCTTCGATCCCAGCTGTGGCCGATTTGGCAGCAGATCATCTTGTGTTGTTTTTGACTATGGTACCAGGACCTGACCGTTCAGTAAGCAATGGCAAACTACTGAATGTAAAATTTGCATAGAAAAACCAGAACAGCCACAAAATGCTAGGGTTGGTTCTGCAACTCCCTGTAAAGGATACACAACAAACTTATTAGATGAGAAATATTTTTGAGTAAAGAATCATTATGATCAAAGTCAAACATATTTAGAGCAGGGAAGGGCATGCCCCATGTTATGGTAGACTGCTTGAATCAGGGAATCCTGAAACATGCAGTAGCCACTGACTAGTGCTTCTACCAAGTGTAGTGAACTCTGGAGGAATACCACTGCACAAGCAGGTAACTCGTCATGCCTCCTATCTACCATCCGGAGGAAGTTGAGAATGGATGTATCAATCATGTCTACTAATGAGGGCCTCTACCAAGTGTAATAAACTGGAGGAATACTACAGCTCAAGCAGGTAACTCATCATGCCTCCTATCTACCATCCATAGGAAGTCGAGAATTGATGTATCAACCATACCCACTGATGAGGGCCTCTACCAAGTGTAGTAAACTCTGGAGGAATGCCACAGATCTGCTTTCGGTCAATATGGTGGATAGGTGGATTTACTGTTCTTGGTCATGGCAAGTTTTTGCTTCTGACAGTAGTTTGCTGTCCCATTTTCCTTTATATGTAGACTGTAAAGATATAGTTCCATTACGCAGCTGCTGAGTTAAGGGCATGCTGCAATACTGTGACCTATGAATTTAATTTCAAATGCTTTTTTTTTGCTGTGCCAGTGTGGTTTGTATGTTGTGAACTGCAGATTGAGAAAATTTTGATTGGGTACATTTGCCAATGAGAAAATTTTGATTGGGTACATTTGCCAAAGAGCTTGTGGTGCCTTATGTCATTAATTGCTGTGCTGTAGCTGCTGCTTCCCTTGATGATGAACTGCATTTCTAGTGTTGGACTGTTTGTGTTGGCACTTCTGACTGCTGCCTGATGCATTTAATGTGCATGTGTTTGCTGTTGGATTTGCTAAAACTGCAGCCTGTGTCAATCTGTTTTCCACAAGGGCAGTGATGGATATTCGGTGCGGTGTTTCCCTGGCAGGGGGTTGGAGCAACTACCGAGTGACCTGTTTGCTATAAAGTTGGAACTCTGATTATTGACCAAATATTTTAATTTGCATTTTCACAGTAATCTCATGAGAGATCAGAAGGTCATGGGTTTAGGTCCTGAAGGAGCTGGACTTTTTTTTACATTTCAAAAATTACCTTGGAGCTCAGGTCGTGAGTCGGTACCCAGGTACAGTACTGGGAAGTAAAGGTGGAAGGCATGGTGCTGACCACATCACCCACCCAGTGCGGACTGGTCTATAAAATATAGGACTAGTCCTCTAT